CTCTCTGAGACCCCTCTTCGCATGGACTTTTCCGTCAATCCGTGGAGATCCTAGTTCATCGACATCGCGTATGGATTTCTAGTGACTGATTAACTCATTGGATGATTTTTTTTTTGAAGACTTCAAACTGGGGCTGGGGTGGGTTCATAAGAGATTTCGGAGGTTGGAAGGAAGATATAAGCATATGGATGGGTACCACTCATCGTGTACTAATTCGTGTCCGTCACTCAATCCTTCACAGCACAACTCCTCAGATCACTCACTCGCTCTGATGAACCTTCCCGAATCTTTCCTCTCATTGGCTCTCACCGTCAGGAGCAGCAGTCGGACATCAATGCATCAACGGTTATTGAAGGGGATGGGCCACCAGCCAATTCAACGGGATCCACGAGGTCGAGCGTCGTCTTTCATACCTACCAATCAGCAACGAAACATGGGCCTTCATCCTAGATAACAACAACCACATCCTCCACAAAATCTCAACTCCCCCGGCCTGCCCAGCTCCCTCCCTAAAATCTTCATGGTACCCCACATACACGTACGCATACAGCAAGCGCCGCACCCATCAAACCACTCCCTCTGCATCCCCAACAACCACGCACAAACCCCACCTCCAAGAGCAAATCTCGTAACGGGCTTGATGGTTTTGAACGACGATGTTACACATGAATGACGGGTCCCGGTCAACGTTAACCAATGCCGTTGCCACCTCGCTCCAGGTTTGGTCGGATAAAGTCGGGGTTGCAGGTGCAGGAAGGCTCTGCGGCTTACGACCCCTTTCCCCCCAGAAATGTGGGAGCCTACGACGCCATCGACACGTGAAGCCGTCCAGCCTGCTACTCCTCCAACTTAGAAAACTATGCTGCATACTAGGCCCACGACGCCTGCGAGACCTACGACAACCGTTGTTCAGCTTGACGAGGACACAGTTCGAAATGCGGGGATTGGTCTGGATGATGATTCGTTTGTGAGAGCGGAGGGTGTGAGCATGTCGAAGCCTCTCGTGAAAGAGAAGGTACGGTCTGTTGAGGATGAGGTTGACAATGGTGAGATGGTGGATGGACATCGAAAGTGGTATGGGGAGGTGGAGAGTGTTTCGTCCCCATTTCATCATCATCAGAGCCCGCTGGTGGTCTTACTGCGTCTCCTGAGGATGTGAGGAGGGCGAGGAAGGACTGGTGGCTACCACTTTTATGATTAATCTATGACAACTGTCCAAGAGCCATTGTGTATAATGCCACTGGTTTTATGAAAGGCATCTCATTAGCATTGCCCATCTATTTCATTCAATTTATCACTGGAATCTTTCATAAGTTATAGACAAGGATAATGAGATATCATGGGGATATTTCATTAGGCTCTTTGGCCCTTTCATTATCATTTCTGAGACTTTTCATTAGGATATTTCATTACGCTCCTGCGCTTTTTCATTATCATTTCTTAGAATTTTCATTAGGATATTTCATTACCATTTCAAAGGAATTTTCATTATGATATTTCATTAGGCTCCTGCGCTTTTTCATTATCATTTCTTAGAATTTTCATTAGGATATTTCATTAGGCTCCTGCACTTTTTCATTACCATTTCTTAGAATTTTCATTAGGATATTTCATTAGGCTCCTGCGCTTTTTCATTACAATTTTTTATATTTCTCATTAGGATATTTCATTAGGCTCCTTGGCACTTTCATTAGGTTTTCTTGGAATTTTCATTGGGATATTTCATTCAGCTCCTTGACCCTTTCATTACCATTTCATTGAATTTTCATTAGAATGCTTCTTGGCGCTTTCATTAGGATATTTCATTACACTCCTTGACCATTTCATTAGATTTTTCATTGGGAGATTTCATTGGGGCATCTGGCCCTTTCATTACCATTTCTTTTAGGATATTTCATTGAGCACCTTGACAATTTCATCACTTCTCATTAGGCTCCCTGGCACTTTCATTACTATTTCTTAGATTTTTCATTAGGATATTTCATTAGGCCCTTTGGCACTTTCATTACCGAAAACTATATAATAATGATGATATGTATCACATGGGTTGTTGGGAGGGTGGTCACATGACCAATTACCAAAAATAGTCAAAAAAGCGAAAGTTGTACCCCTGCACTGTAGCTTCCCGAATCTGGTTGAATTATGTTCTGAAGTGCTCCTGTTGTGGAGATATAAGGTAAAAGAATTCCAAAAGCATTGTGTTTTTTTTGGTTTTTTGCATTTTTCTTCATGAAAACAAAACCAAATAACATGATTCCAACACATTTAGAAAGCTAGATGAAAGGGCAACAAATATCATATCATGGGAAAATTGACCAAAAAAGGAAGGTGCATTCCCTAAAAGAGCAATCAACACTGACAGACTACAAGAGTCAGATATAGACTACCAAGTTTACTGATAGACTACAAAAGACTACAAAAGTCAGACTTAGACTACAAAAGCTTGGACTTAGACTACAAAATTAGGGTTACATTAAAAGGTTTTGTAGTGTCCGCTTTTTCATTAGAAAAGTTTATAGTGTCCGCTTTTTTAGACTACAAAAGTTTGTAGTGTGCCTTTTCATTAGAAAAGTTTGTAGTGTCCGCTTTTCAGACTACAAAAGTTTGTAGTGTCCGCTTTTTCATTAGAAAAGTTTGTAGTGTCTGCTTTTTGAGGCTACAAAAGTTTGTAGTTGACATATAGTTTATAGTGTCCTTGACTCTGTATAGGTTATGGGGATGAGGTTAAAGGATTGACATGATTTTACATATTGCCATTGCTGCAGCATTTACTTTTGAAATCATGTACAAATTGTCTTTCACATCAAGAAAGGCTATTCTATGCCTTCATATTGATAGCTACTGTCCTATCTCAAATCATGGTTCTAGGTCCATGTGGATATGGTTTGAAGGATTAAATTGCTTTACATATTACTACTGCCAAATGATTAGTTTTTGACATCATACCCAAGTTGCCTTTCACATCAGGACAGGCTATTCTCTGATTTCACATTGATAGTTGCTGGTCTGTCTGCTTTCACATTGATAGCTACTTGCCTGTCCCAAACCTAGTCAACTGTGATATCAGCTCTTTCAGGGCAATAGGATGAGCTGATTGGTCCCTGGATGTATCCTTAAGTCAGGCCATGATGTAAGTTAACAATGTATTGAGACAGAACAGTAGATATTACTATGAATGGCTTTTTCTGGCTTGAAAGCCAACTTGGGCATGATGTGAAAAGCTGATGATGTGGCAATAGCAATCAATATGTAAAGTCATGTGAATCCGTTAGCCAGTTCCCCATAAACCTACAAGTATGGTTTGAGATAGGACAGTAGCTATCAATATGAAGGCATAGAATAGCCTTTCTTGATGTGAAAGACAATTTGTACATGATGTCAAAAGTAAATGCTGCAGCAATGGCAATATGTAAAATCATGTCAATCCTTTAACCTCATCCCCATAACCTATACAGAGTCAAGGACACTATAAACTATATGTCAACTACAAACTTTTTGTAGCCTCAAAAAGCAGACACTACAAACTTTTCTAATGAAAAAGCGGACACTACAAACTTTTGTAGTCTGAAAAGCGGACACTACAAACTTTTCTAATGAAAAGGCACACACTACAAACTTTTATAGTCTAAAAAAGCGGACACTATAAACTTTTCTAATGAAAAAGCGGACACTACAAAACCTTTTAATGTAACCCTAATTTTGTAGTCTAAGTCCAAGCTTTTGTAGTCTAAGTCTGACTTTTGTAGTCTTTTGTAGTCTATCAGTAAACTTGGTAGTCTATATCTGACTCTTGTAGTCTGTCAGTGTTGATTGCTCTTTTAGGGAATGCACCTTCCTTTTTTGGTCAATTTTCCCATGATATGATATTTGTTGCCCTTTCATCTAGCTTTCTAAATGTGTTGGAATCATGTTATTTGGTTTTGTTTTCATGAAGAAAAATGCAAAAAACCAAAAAAAACACAATGCTTTTGGAATTCTTTTACCTTATATCTCCACAACAGGAGCACTTCAGAACATAATTCAACCAGATTCGGGAAGCTACAGTGCAGGGGTACAACTTTCGCTTTTTGACTATTTTTGGTAATTGGTCATGTGACCACCCTCCCAACAACCCATGTGATACATATCATCATTATTATATAGTTTTCAGTAATGAAAGTGCCAAAGGGCCTAATGAAATATCCTAATGAAAAAGCGCAGGAGCCTAATGAAATATCCTAATGAAAATTCTAAGAAATGATAATGAAAACGCGAAGCAGCCTAATGAAATATCCTAATGAAAATTCTATGAAATGGTAATGAAAAAGCACAGGAGCCTAATGAAATATCCTAATGAAAATTCTAAGAAATGATAATGAAAAAGCGCAGGAGCCTAATGAAATATCCTAATGAAAATTCTAAGAAATGGTAATGAAAGTGCCAAGGAGCCTAATGAAATATCCTAATGAAAATTCTAAGAAATGGTAATGAAAGTGCCAAGGAGCCTAATGAAATATCCTAATGAAAATTCTATGAAATGGTAATGAAAAGGCGAAGCAGCCTAATGAAATATCCTAATGAAAAGTCTCAGAAATGATAATGAAAGGGCCAAAGAGCCTAATGAAATATCCCCATGATATCTCATTATCCTTGCCTATAACTTATGAAAGATTCCAGTGACAAATTGAATGAAATAGATGGGCAATCCTAATGAGATGCCTTTCATAAAACCTGTGGCATTATACACAATGGCTCTTGGACAGTTGTCATAGATTAATCATAAATAGTGGTAGCCACTAGTGGAGGAAGGAGGTGGCAGGTTGGAAAGGGAGGGCGAAAGGGAAAAAGAGAAGGAGAAAGCGAAGTGGAGGATCTCAGATGCCACTCAGGAGCATGAGGAAGCTTGAAATGGGCTTCGTCAATCTGTCGCATATCCTTTCGCACCACCAGGTGGTGAGGAACTCCCCGGACTTCATCAATTTCTCATTCATATCCACTGAGCAAACCCAATCCCTCCCTGTATGATGCCGTCCAGAGCCTCATACCTTATTCGTGGATACACTCGCATCACTCATATTTCAACTTCGTGCTCAAGTCGAGGTCATTCACTTTATCGAAGGCGACTGGCTTTTGGATAACAGTGTTTCATAGACCAGTCTCCACTTCTGCTCTCCGCTGCTCCCCCTTCGTCACGCTCCCCTATTGCGGGTGTTTGTTCCTCTATCAAAGGCGACTATCTTTCGGATAACAGCATACAAGAGGGCGAGGAAGACTGTAAACGTGCCGGCGTTCTCCAGCTGATGCCGGTGGGAGATGTTGTTCGGGGCATTGCCGTTGGAGATGAAGAAAAACATAGGTCTGTTGGTTTGGGATGGGAGCTATCTCTCCGTGAGTTTGCCTGGCGTACTCTTTGTGTTCTTTTGCTCAGCTAGAGTTTCATATCTTGCTAGGATCTTGATTACATGTATTCACCTACCAAAGTATCTCTCAGCGTTGGAGTTCCCACCATCCTATTACCATGGGGTCATACACTCCAGTAATTTGATCATGCACATTGATATTGCGTGATTGCTGGGAATCTGCAGCTGCTGCAAGATCGGATCGAAACTGAGAGTCGAGACGTGCGTATCGTTCTTTGTTGTGGACTTTTCTCAGCTGATAACGCCTTTGCGCAAACCACTAGGAGCCTATCATCCTGCCTGGCTTTTTTTCCGCATCATTTACTTTATGGTGGACGTGACGGGGACGTTTGAGGTCTTCAATGGATTCTTTGTGTGTGCAGATGGCTTTGAGGAGCCTGGGATAGCCGTGTTTTTTTAAAAACATTGTTGTAGCGGTGGAGAAGGGAACAAAACCACTTGCTTACATCTGATGTTGCTCCGTCCGCAGTGCCTCCGAGTCCGAAATTCGAACTTCCCAGAACATTGTGAAGTGTATAAAGTTCGTTACGGAAAAGGTTACTCGGAGCCTTGGCTGTCGGAGATGCACACGAGCAACCCCCTCATTTCCATGCTCTTTCCCCTGCTCATTTACACAAACGGTGACTGCGTTCACCGACATCGCTTGCAGATCGTCAAGATCCGTGAACGACGTTCTTGGCCCACCAAACCACGGGCGCTTTGTAAACCGAACACAGGCATTGTGCATGCCTCTGGCGAATTTCTGGATCAGGCATCATAGTGGACGACCTATCTCCATGTTTGCGGTGTCCTGAGCCTCTCCGATTTCTGCGTCAGACAGCGTCTGCGTAACTTAGAGGGGTTACAAGGGAGAAGCAACCTCCCAAGCTTATGCGAAGACAATCCGTCAATTGTTTAAGTAAGGGATTCATTAAGCTTTTCGAGTTGGATGGCTGGGTGGTAGAAGGGAAGGTGAGATGGAATGACACTGGGATGTTGGTATCACAAATTCGAGGGGCTATGTTGGATATCACACAACAGGAGTTGGAAGGCGACAACCTTGGCGAGACAAGACCACACCGACCGTCGTCTAAATCTTCAAGAAACTCCTCGAAGCATGGAAAGAATCCATAGAGACGGTGGTGAAGGAGTGGGGTACGTTCAATATCACCTCAGCGTGATTACTTTCGTGAGGATCTAATATCGGGCACAGGAAAATCTGTGTGCCATCTGCGGACACAGGTTGCGTGCCAGTTGCGAACCGAAAAGAAGTATCTGCGGTCACCTGCATGCAGACCAATCCAGTTGCGTGCAAATTAAACCTAGTGAGCTGAGTATCTGCAGGCATCTGCGAGCATCAGCGCACCTCACTGAGATTTCATATTTCCAACATATTTCTTTATATTTTAATTATCCTTCTAGTTTAACGTATACAAATCTCTCTGATTCTTTGGGACTTGTTGGTTTGTACCTATAGGTCTGTACTAAAACCATTTTTTTGCAGTAAGGTACAAGTAACAAAGTGTCTGAGGCTATGACTAGTCAGCCACCGGCTTCTTACCATTATTTTCCTTCTTTATTGGACCTGATTGTGGTCGAGTTTTTTTCCAGAGACTTCGGGACTTAATAGCCAATGTCTGCCATTGTTGAGTGATGGAGTCTCACCTCTCATTCAGACTCGCTCTCTTCTTCCCATCCCAACTTGATTCCACACCAAACGAGGGACATCGGGGAAAACCAACTTTGGAAATCAACGAAAATCTCCCCTTATTTCCCGACTACTTCCCCAGAAAACCTGGATTCCGGACCTCTGGCGTTTCCCCCAATTTCCTCAATTAGACTGGTGTCAGCGGATTTGAAGGAAATTCTTGGGACACTCATAATATATATCACTGTCATTTCCCTCACATTCACAATGTATTTCAGTGACATTTCCCCCACATTCACTAATTTCAAAACCATTTCATCCATGGGATTCATAAATTATACTGGCGAAAGATGTCCTGCATCCAATCAACATTCCACCTGCAATACACTTGCGTTCAGCTTGCGGTACACTTGAGATTCATCTGCGACACACCTGCGACACATTTAAGATACACTTACGAGAGTTAGTATCCATTGCGAGACTTGCGTACACTTGCGTGCAACTTGCGCATCACTTGCGATACACCTGCGAGACCAATGCGAGACACACTTGCAAGCATCTGCACACAAAATGGATGTTTGCAAGCCACCTGCGGTCAACTTGCGAGTAGGCATGAGTAAATACGAACTAAAACTCTTGTGTAGACATTTGAACACTGTATTCCGGACTCATATCGCATAGCAGTGGTGCACATTTGAAGTTCTCAAGTGAAGATTACATTTCTTTAGTTTAAATTTACTAAATACTATGTTGTAGTAGACTATCTATCTGCGTGACACCTGCGATACCTGTGATCCCTTTTGATTATCTGCGAGACACTTGCGGTCACCTGCGAACAGGCGGTCCGCAAGTGACCACAAGTGGCTCGCAGATTTCTATATGCACTCTAATATCTCATCATATTCGTCAAACTAAATCTCTTGTGTTGTAAGTGTGATATGGTTGTGATATGGTTGTGCTAATTATTTAGTCTTACAGCATTGGGGTTGATAACTAGTGTTTGAAAGTCCGGTCCGGTCCGGTTATTGAGCCCTCAAGGGCTCTAACCGAGACCGAGACCGGTTACCTTGTGCCACGAAACCCAAAATAACCGAACCGGACTGCTACTAACCGATATAATCGGTTAGTAATGGTTAGTGGTCGGTTACATGACCGGTCCTAACCAGTTATTTCTCTGTACTAACATAATTACAAACCTATATTATATTTCTAATACAAGCATTATGCTGCATGCACCAGCGAGGCGCGTGTACGTGAAACACCGCCTCGCATGATGGCCCAATGAAGAGAGAAAGAGAGTACTCGATCTGTGAGCCTTTCTCATCACAACCTACGCATCCGGCATATTTCATAAACAACCTCGCAGGTCGAGTACACCCGACCTGCGAGCGTTTCTCATGGATTGCCATTGTTGTATCAATGTCACATTATCACACATGTGACGACAGGAAAATAGTCACTTAAATTTCAATTCACTGTAAATATGTCAATTCTCCACTAAAAAATATGATTTTTGGATCGTTAGAAAGCGTTTAAACAGGGGAATATTTGTGTGTAACGTTAGGACACAAAGACCGGTTATAACCGGTCCAACCAGTTTTTGTTTGGTCTTGAATATTTTGGGATGACACCTAACCACTAACCGGACCACAGTTACAGTTAGGATCGGTTAGGTAATTTTTGCGGTCCTGATCGGTTATGGTTCGGTCCAGTCTCGGTTATTTTCCGGTTAACTAACCTAACTTCCAAACACTATTGATAACATTGATTTTCTTGACTCATACTCCAACGAACTAGTCATATCCATGTTCAAAAGGTGAGTAAGTTTCCAAGACATATAAAAAGCGACATCGTTTCAAGAGTAGCTGATTGTTTGTTCATGTTTTTCAACTTTAGCCCATGAGCCGTGGCCTGAGCCTGAGCCAGGCCTGAGCCAGCCTAAAGCCTTGCAAAAAGCTCAGGCTTGAAATTGGACAAGCCTGAGCCGTGCAAAGCCGGGCCATAGCCGTGGCTTTCAGGCCAAGCCGGGCCTGCACATCACTAGTGACATCCAACCACCAATAGCAAACCAATAGCAGCACTTCGAGATTTCACAATGTAATGCACAGTACGTCTCATCTCGCTTCCGTTTATGTTCCCTTCGCTCACTCTTACTATTCGACAAGATGGCAGTCATCCCACATTATATTTGTGGCAGCAAGCCTACCGGAACAAACCATCACTCATTGATATCTGGCTTTGATCCTAGACAACAACATCCACGTCCTCCTCACAGGCTCATCGCCCTTGGCCCGATCTCCTTCCGCTACACTCCTAAAGGCTCTCATGGTACCCCACGGATGCATACAGCAAGCGCCGGAATCATCAGACCACTTCCTCGATATCCCCAACAACCAGCACAAACCCCACCTCGCGCAGTAATTCTCGTTACGTGCCTGAGGTAGGCCTTCAACAATGGCATTACACATGAATGAAGGGTCCAACGCCTCCGCTGGCAGCTCGATGCACAAGTTCGTTGGGACCTACGACGCCGTTGACGCATAAGCCGTCCCACCTTCTACTCCTAGACACAGAAATCCACGATGCATGACACGCTCATATGATGCCCATTGTTCAGCTTGATGAGGACACAATTCGGAATGCGGCGAGTTGGGTTGAATGATCATCTGTTTGCGAGGGTGTGGGGATATTGAAGCATGCTGTCAAGAAAGGAAGGTGCGGTCTGTGAAGTTATGAGGTTGATGATGGTGTGACGGTGGATTGACATGGGCGGGTATGACGAGGTAGAGAGTGTTTCGTCCCATTGTTACTGCGCCTCCTGAGGGTGTGAAAAAGGCGAGGAGGCGAAGGTGGTTGGAGAGGGAGAGGGAATGAGAGAATGAGAGGGAGATCTAGAGAACATGGATTTCTGCAGCTGGTGCATACCTTTAAACATCTCCAAAGACATACGGATATGCTTGGTGCAGTCACTCCTGAGGCCTGAGCGCTGAGCATTTATTGAAGGCTGTTGGTTATGATTGACGGGAATGGAATGAGCCAGAACCATTGTCGCTGTAACATCAGGTACCCATTCGTATTGCTATTGAATGATCAAGCTGACGTCTCATTAGTTAACACACTCCACGCGAGTACTGGGTTTGAGTCTTCGAAGGACAAAAGGATTTATGCATGGAGTGCGGATATATCGTCGTAGATTCTTGAAATCTGATTGAGTAGGAAATTGTGTCCCCTGTTCAGCTTCGAATTACAAAATCCGGTGTCGATTGCAGGTGTTTAGATTTGATTAACAGACTGGTTTATTGGTATTCAGTAAAGTTCTTCATTGGTGCATTGGCTAGCACATGCATTTAATTTGCCTATCTTGCAGACTGCAAAACTTCAACAAATGCGAGAACTGGGTTCAACTCCCAGACGAAGAGTGATGTTAAAAGCGTGTTATATATTATCTTTTATTTTCTTTCTTTTTTTTTTTGACCCCACATTTACAGCACCTCCACACTTTCTTATACCGTGAACAATCCAAATTTGAGGAAATAGTTCCATTATTACCCGTGAGTCCCTTCCGAGGTATTCAAAGTGTTAATGATTTGAATCCGAACAACTTCTTCGTTGGTGCATTGGTAGCACCTCATACAGATGCAAAGGGACTTGCCTCTGCACTGTGCAGTAACTTTAACTGGGTTCGACTCCCTTGACGAAGTTGCATAGAAAGTGATGCATATTTGGATCATATTATTTTGTCAGCTGGAGTCTTGAGCTTGAGGGCCGGTACCATTTTCTGTAATTAAAAATTAACAGTCAGGCATGGTAGACGGTTGTGGAATGCCGCTGGGTACGCAAAATGCGTTGAGTTGAGGGCTGAGGCAATATTTGGATCCAAAGCCAAAGCCAGTTCCAAAACAACAAAAGCCAATTCCCAAACAACAACCAGCATACGTTGAATGTTGAAAACTTGAACCACCGGTGCAATCTTTGGGCAATCACCAACATTTCAACACCAACCACCCCCACAAGGACAGATTCGTAATCGTGATCCTAAGTTGATGGAGTAAATCACCGCCTACTCGAGCCCCATTGCCAGTGACTCGTCATTTGATGTAACGCACAGTTCATCTTGTCTCGCTTCCGTTTATGTTCCCTCCGCTCGCTCTTATTATTTGGAAAGATGGTAGTCATCCCACGTTATGTTTACGGCTCCAAGACCAGAGAATAATCGTCAACTTCACTGGGGTGGAACAGAACCATTACTCATCGATACCCCACGCCCTCTCGATCTCCCCAACTATCCGTCCGCGTAATCACTTGTCGGGACTACCAGCGTCCACTACTTCCCATCCTCCTGTTTCTCCGTCTGCGGGACAAAGATTTCCTCTCGAATCCCAAACTTGATTTCCACCACCTTGGCGTGACCATTCTCATCTCTGCCGCTCGAACCCACACAGACAACAGTAACTCGGACAACCGACCTCACACATTGTAGAATATGTACGATGGGCAACATCCGTCTATGGGTGTTTCCCCGAAATGGGGTAGGGTGTTCTCAAGGACACACTTCGATACTCGCCGATCAGCGACAAAACACAGGCCTTGAAGCTTGAAGCTCACCGCCTCTGGCCTGCCCATTGTATTCGGCTACCCTCCTCAAGGCCCTCATGGTACCCCGCGCACGCATACACTGTACAGCAAGCACCGAATCCATCTGAACACTCCCTCAACATCCCAACAAGAACAACTACCTTGCAGCAAGATCTTCAACACCGACGTTACACACGAACAACGGGTCCAGTGCCTCCGATGCACAAGTTTGCTGGGACGTCATTCTGCAAAGTTGGGGTGTCACAGGTATAGCACAGGCGTTAAGGCCTCCGATGCCACATAGATCTGGGAGATCTTCGACGCCGTTGACGCATTACTACTCCTCAAACTCGGAAATCCACGGTGCATGCCAGGCCCACAATGCCTGTGAGACCTACGACGCCCGTTGTTCAGCTTGATGAGGACACAGTTCGGAGTGTGGGGATGATGATTCGTTTCCAAGGGTGTGAGGATGTCGAAGCCTAGTGGGAGAAGGCGTTGTCTGCAGAGAATAGGGTTGATGATGGTGTGGCGGTGGATGGACGAGGGTGGGGGTATGATGAGGTGGAGAGTGTTTCGTCCCATCCTTATCACCAGAGCCTGCTGGTGGAGTTACTGCATGTCCTATGGATGTGAAGAGGCAAGGAGGGGAAGGGAAAGAGAGACGAAGAGGGAGAAGGAGGATCTCGGCTGCTAGAACGGATGCCGTGCAGGAGCATGAGGAGGTTGAACAACTGATCTCGTCATACTGCTTCAATCTCGCGCAGCTCCTATCGCACCACCAGGAACCTCTTTGAGTACATGACTTCGTAAGAGCGGTGCATACCGTCAAGTATCTCCAAAGACATCTGGATACTCTTGGTACAATCGCCTCCGCTGCGGGAGGAGGTGCTCGAGCATTCTTTGTATGTTGGATATGGTTGATGGAGTTGAATGAGCCAGAGCCGCTGTCGCTTTAACTTCAGGTTTAGATTCATGCTACTATTGAATGACCAAGCTGATGTTTCTCAGCCGCTTTCAGGACCTCAGCGACTTCATGCGAGGACGACGAAGCGGAATCTCCACGCATCAACAAAAAAATTGAAGCGGGAATTGCTTCATCGAACTAGGAGAAAGAGGCGTTCACGGCCATTCGATTATGTGTCTACAGGCAATCGTGTTTCCTTGTGGCATGATGTCGCAGGTGGGAGGGAAAGAGGCGCATGGGATGGAAAACATTGGGACGTGCGGATAGGTCGCAAAGGGCAGCTCGAGTGTTTCGGCTACTTGAGTGCATACGAGGCCATTTTGTCGGGGGATGGTATTGTGTGGATCCCAAGAAAAATATGCAAGTTTATTGATCCTTCCATTGGGATATCGTATGTGTATATCTTGCCCAGTTTCACGTTGAACCACTCAATGTTGAATGGACAGTGATCGGATTCAATTCAGACATTTCATTCATTGTAATTTAGTAGTCAGCCTCCTATATCCACCCCAACGCTTTTTTGAAAAAGAAGATGTGACAAGCAGCACTCGGAAAAAGGATCACCAAATTTGAGCTGGTGTTTTACAGGTATCGATGTTGCAAGTCGGAAACTTTAACACTCTGTTGGTGCATCAGTTAGCACACGCGTCAATAAATATCTATTCCATAGATGTTCATGCGAGAACTGGGTTCAAGTCCTAGACAGAAAATATCAGGAGATATGGAAATTTTGCATGGAGTGCGGATATATCGTCGCTGATTCTGAGTAGGAATTTGTGTCCCCTGTTCAGCTTCGAATTATGAAATCTGGTGTTGAATGCAGATTCGGCTCATGGGTTGGTTTTAGGGCTGCGCACCGTCCGTCTGGACGGGAACGGCCGTCTACTGGACGGGTGGTAAACGGGTAAGTCTCGTCCGTCCCCCGTCCCGTTAGTGTTTCCTTTGGGATCTCGACAAGGACGGTACGGGGATGGAGATGGCCGTCGTACGGGTGACGGGTGTCAACAGCTGTGTATCAGTGATGAATATAGACAGCCTGTATCTAAGGGTTAATGAAGTACCAAGAATGAATCGATGACGGCTTGCAGCAAGATGAAGGTCCTAAAAACGCAAAGTCAGGAGGGTAAGGCAACGGCACGACCATAACTCACACCGTCTGGAGGCCTCGGATTCCACGTAGCATGCCTCAAACTCATCCGCGGTGTGCGAGATGGTTTTAACGTTCTTGCCGAACTCTCACTATCATGGTCCACTGCAACTCCTGGCTAATGAATTGAACGGGGGCACTAGCAAAGAGTATGTTAGAGCCGCTTTCGTCATATTTAACGGGCACCGCACCTTTTGACCACCAATCAAGTTAATTCCCTTCTCCCCAGTCTCGAAAAACCTGTGTTTGAGATGCATAAGCGCCAAATGCAATCTGTAGTAGCAACGTTAGTACAAGGTAAGTTTGTGAGAGGGAGGAGAAGCACAGACCGGACTTGCCTGTAATGCTTAACACAGTTTCCCATACAAAATCGCCGTCGACGAAGGACAATACGCCTATTTCGGTAGAGGGGAACAGATTCAACGGAAGGCTACATCGTTGACGTCGATGTTGGCAGGGTAGAAAATCTTCCCACAGCATCGCCGTCCGTACCGTCCAGACGGCCATCTAGGTGACAGGAATAGACAGGTGCTATCCGTCCCGTCCACCGTCCCATCAGAATCTTATCCCAAATCGAAACGGCGACAGGTAGAGCACCCGTCTAAACGTCCTGTCCAACCGTCTTGGACGGGTATGGTGCGCAGCCCTAGTTGGTTTGTTGACATTCAGTAAAGTTCTTCGTTGGTGCATTGGCTAATAATTTCCAGGCTCCGAGTCAATGCCCATAAACTTCAAATGCAAGAACTGGGTTCGACTCCCAGACAAAGAGTTTCAATCCATGATAGAGGTATTTTTATCCTTTTTTCTTCTTCTTTTGAACCCGACATTTACAAGACCTCGACACTTTCTCGATGAACAAGCCAATTCGAAGGAAACAGTCCCGCAGCTCAAATACCATCAAAAAAACGTGAACCCTGTCCGAGGTATTCAGAGTGCGAAGTTCTAGAGTCCAGAAAAAAGTGTCGTTGGTGCACTGGTAGGCTGTAGCACCGCATGCAAACAGAAATAACTTGCCTCTGCATAGTATCATACGCCACATACGCGGTAGGTACATGGGTCAAACGGAAAAAAAGTTGTGAAAATGTCGACATCATGCCAACTGTGGACAGCATCTCTCAGTATCTGACCCCTTGTCGAGCATTACAGTCCTTCATCTCTGCCTCCGTGACACGCCGCTCCTCCTCTTCCCTTGTAAATACACTCTCGACTGTTCTGCTAAACAGTTTGTGTAGCGTATAATGCACAATCTTTGAACTTTCCCTCATCCATTAACTCAGTCTCATCCTGGAAGCCACATGGAGGAAAAATGGAAACAGGCAATCAGATAGATGTCTCGATGTTGATCCTCGTCCATCATCGTTTCAAGACAGACATCTGACTCTGATCGGAATTCAATGATGTTGCCTTCTGGACGAATTTGGCTCAGAACGGTGCAAATGACAACAAGCTAGTCCAATAGAGCACTGAAAACTTCTAGTGCGTACAAATTAAATTTAAAGCCTTGCGCTAGCTGCTTAACCCCTGGTCGAGTGGGGTCCGAGGTTTCGGCACAGATTCATCCCGACAGTGGCTTTCTTGAAGACGTCTAGCCCAGGCCTTACCCAAATTACTGCCGTATCTCGAGAAAATGACCCTAAAATAAAGTATTCCCAAGAGGAGAACCAGGGAAGTAACGAGGCAGGCGCGAAGGATTATGAAAAGATAATGTGTTTGCTGAGTTGTCGGTAGCTCTCGTAGTCTACATGAGTGATGTTATGGATACGAGAAATAGAATCATGGACCTATCATACAACTTTCAGCAATCAAACAAAAAAAATGAGGAATCCGCAACATACCAAGCAAGCCAAGAGGCAGGCATAGCCAGCATAATCCATGCGTTAAAGAGAATGGGACAAGAAAAGTGTTTCGTTTCCTGAGAGGAATTAGAGATCTTAGGCAAGCAAAATTGAAAGATGACGTATGGGTGCAAACTCAGCCACAACTCGCTCTCTTCATCTTCAAAAACTTGGACACGTAAATAGAACCAAAGGTGAGGCTGATAAAGACGCAAAATAGAAAGATGAGAGCCGGATATCATATAATCGGAGGCACCGTGACATCCATCTGCAATATGCTCAATATGGCGCTTCGAACTTTTTAGCATAAAGATCACAGTAGAATCTGAGTCATTCCCCATCATAAACCTCAGGCGTCAGCGATAAGACGATACGTCCCCTCTATCACCAACTTTCTTTTGCACTCCTGATTATGCACCCTACAGTTCACCTCGCATGTGACCCAGAGACGTTTCAGCATGATGACCGATGATGTATCTTGACAATCTTGCCACCAAACACCCTGAAATGCTAGAGGCCACTCTTCTCAACAATTCTCAACAACTTAATCACATCAATTTTACCTCTCCAAAGCAAGGTCCTGCCAACCTTTGAGGCCATGGCTCAGGCCACGGCTCAAGGCTTCATGTATTATGAGCCTGAGCCTTGGGCTTTCCTGGGCTTTGACGACGGCCCAAGAAGGCCCGGCTTGGGGAAGGCTGGCCCTGGCTGGCTTACGGCTTTGGGCCGGGCCTGGCACATCACTAGATGTCACTGTGGTTGGTAACGTTGGAAGGGTTGTTGTTTTTGGCTTTGGATCCAAACAGCGCCTCAACTTGACACTACCCAGCGGCATTCCCCCCCGTCTATCACGCCTGGGTGTTCGTAAAACTTTCCCTTTTTAAAAGTCAATTGCCTTTCAGTCTCTGTTATGAGGGCCCTAGATAAAAAATTATAGCAACACAAACTGGCAGTTTCTAGATGTAACTTCGTCAAGGGAGTCGAACCCAGCTACGTACAAATGTGCATATTAAGTATGCAGAGGCAAGTCCTTTGCACCTGTGAGCAGCGCTACCAATGCACCAACGAAGCGCTTGTTTGGATTCAAATAATTCATGCTTTGAATACCCCAGAGGGGACTCAGATTTGAATGGTAATTGAGTGGCGGAAACAAGTATTCCTCAAATTTTCATTTTGTTCATAACAAGAAAGTGTCGAGGTGCTGTAAATGTGGGGTAAAAGAAGAAAGAAAAAAGAAAAGAAAAGATAAAAATGTATAACGCGACAGTTGTTTTGTCCTTGTCTGGGAGTCGAACCCAGCTCTCGCATTTGAGGGAGTTGCAGCCAGAGCTCAATCAAATGCATGTGCTAACCAATGCACCAACGAAGAACTTTTTTTACTGAAAGTCAATAAACCAATCGATTAATCGAATCTGAACCCTCTGCAATCAAAACCGGACTTTTTAATTCAAAGCTGAACTTTCCTACTCGAATTAACCATGATATATCCACACTAATGAATTTCTCTGTTGCTCGTGTGGATATCTATGAAATAGATGATCAAGAAGTGTGTCTTGCGAGTATCAAACTATGCCCTTGAGAACGCCTAACCCCTTCCTACACCTTCATTTGCTTTGAGGCTAATGACCTCGCTGCTGCATCCTGCCGTTCATTGACCGTTGAATGTTGAATGTTGACGTTGATGATGCACTCCATTCCAGAACTGTTGACTGTCCAAGCTGTCTCCCGTCCATCCCTTGTCAAAGTCGACCATTCCTCACTGACGGGTGGGTTGGTGGAAGGTAGTTGGAGGCAGAGGCTGGAGAGGTTGAGGTGGGACGAAAACCTGCAGAGGTCGTACGTAAAATTGCTGAGGTTGAGGTTGAGATGAAAAGTCGAGCTGTCAAGACTGAGATCTCACCTCCATCGCTCTCTTCCGACCACTCCATGGCCATTCCGTCGCCCCAGCTCCACGCACATGCCTTGACCAAGCTGACCGATACCCGTCCACCCAAAAACCTCCCGATGATCGACTATGGCAGATACCCGCACCCATTGCGCGTTGTTAAGGAACGCGAGCAACTGGTTGTGAAAGCGACGCAAACGTGGGTGATGGTATTAGAAGGTGGTGGCTGCTGGTGGAGCGGGACGTGGAGTCGCTCCAAATCGTTGGGTTTCAGAAGAGCGTGGTATTAGCGTTTGGAGAACTCGCCGAAGCTGCAGGCGTGAAGTTGGTTGTCTGAGGTATTGTCGTCTGTGTGAGTCACAATCAGGAAGGGGATGTTCTGTGTCCCAGGGGGGTCCTCAGCGGAGGTGAGAATTTTCAGGTGGTGGGAATCGGAGTAGTGGACAGTCGTAGTCCCAGCAACTGATTACGCGTACGGATAGTTGGGAAGAGACGGGGCGCAAGATATCGATGAGTGATAGTTTGGTTCCGCCCTGGTGAAGTTCATGATTATTCACCAGTCTTGCTGCCATAGATATAGTATAGAATGACTGCCACCTTCACGTATAGTCAAAGCGAGCGAAGGGAACGGAAAAGGAAGTGAGACGAGTGCGGCACTGGATGAACTGTGCGTTGATTTGTCAGATTTCAACTGACCCACTGGCGATGGGCTCGAGTGGGCATCGATTGACTCCATCAAAGAATCGCTACAATGATTCTGCGCTGCTGGTGGTAGTCACAAGTTGGTGGTTGGTGTCGAAACATTGACCAGGTTGTTGTTTTGGCGCTGGCTTTGGCTTTAGATCCAAACAGTGCCACAACTCGTCAATGTTGCGTCAATGCGTCACCGAGCAGTTATTGTGCTTCGGCAGCAGTTGGGCAGCAGCCTCGGAAAGACGAAGATTTTGACATATGTAGCGTCGATCACTGACTCGTATTATTACCAGCCACACATAAGTAGTATGATGGGTCCACATTGCGTCGGGGACGTCGCACAAGACAAGAAGCAAATAACAATAGATAGCTTGCAACCACGTACATTTGAAAAGCCAGACCCAAACATAAATGACCCAATCGATCACAAGCACAGATGGTTGGCAGTGTATTTCGCAAAGGTAGCAAGATGGGTCGACATTGCATTGCTGAGGGCGTCACCAGACAGAAAACAATAGCCTGCCGGATCTGAGACAGCCAACAAAGTGTAAAGGACGCACGAGGGTCATTGTCGCACACCGTGTCTGGAAGCGGCGTTGATAGCAGGTCCAAGACGCCGCGTGCAAGTCTATGCTTCAAAATACATCCAGAGGTCAGCAGTTCTCCGGAAACAGAAAGCTGCATCTGATTCCGCGAAACTATGCAGAACCGGTTTTAGTATTTGGGGCGGTGCAAGAATTATCTTCCCCAAACGCCTTCTTCGCAAGCTTGCGAGAACCCATTCAGTGTCAGGAATTGCGGTCTACATGTCTGAGTAATGAGCAAAGATCGAACAAGGAAAAGTGGGGTGGAATGATGAAGATAACGATGCCTTACAATAGGTAAGACTGCGTCCAATTTGAAAATTGCAATACGTCGGCTTTCCGGAGCTCGGACTCGGCGCATCCTTGGAAAGCGGTTAGACGTATATTCATGAAGGTTATGGACAACTTACTAGAACCGTTTCTACCCACTGACCGCACGGCATTTGAACGTTTTATCGTACGGGGAGCTGAGCAACACGACAGCTTGGTAAGGGTCCCTCTGTGGATTGCTAGCATGGGCAATCATCAACAGCGCAGTACGTTGTTGCCAGAACAAGGTGCTTCAGCAACTTCGAACACCATTTTGCGCTTTTAGCGTCGTTTTCCTTGCGCCTGCAAGAACTTGAAGGAGGCCTACATATGCGGGGTAAAAATTGTCGGGCGATACGAGCGACGAAAAAACTGGGGGGCACAATGCCGCTGAACACCTAGTGGATAATCGACGAAATTCCAACAAACCTTTGTAGATGGAATCCCTCGTGCACACATTTACCCTGCCTCATTTTCCCTCCGAATCCAAGCTGGTCGCTGATATCTGCATGTTGCCGTCCCCCGTCCCCGTTCTCAGAACAGAATCCCATAGTCGCAAAGCTAGACACCCTAAATTGACACCTGAGCACGTGTGCAACTCTCTCAAAACGCCTGGCACAAGTTGGGCAGAAAACCCACGAGAAAGCTGAACGGTATGAGAATACAAATGAATAAGGAGCTTAAAACTTAACCGTCGTTGAACAGGGGACACCATGCATCTTGTGTCACGCGTCACAGCAACCCAATCCTGTGCCATCGGCCATGCCGATTCGGTAGGTTACATGTAGCCATCGTTTATAGCTGATTTGCGAAGGCCGATGATTTGAAGGCGCGTGATAGGGCAGATGCGACTCCTTGCTCAAGTCAAGACTACGTGTTCACAGCGTCCTTCAGGCGAAACCTTGCGATGGCTGGCGTTCTTGTGGTAAACTATTGTGATGCATTGATTCACATAAAACATCAGGAAAATGTTTTTTTGCTGTAGTTTGGTCGTATTTATGTAGTCTCTGTGGGTCTTATAGGCTCATATAGGTACGCGCAAACCTCTGTAGGCTATGATAGGTAGTAAATCCTACTGTACATTCTAAGTACCTGCTAGTAGGAATAAATTAAAAGGAGCACTGATGTAAGTGGGTGTTCTAACAATTATGACTGACCAAGCTCGTCTTGTGTAAGCATCGCACGACATCATTCCCTACTTGAAACGAGGACATCATATTCATAGAGCATTGACGGCAAGTATAGCCCATTCTGAATCAGTATATTACAGTACTACTTGAAGCCCTGGTGTTCATAAAAAGTACCTAAGTTAATATACTTGTTCAAAGTAAAGGACTTCCAGTTATCGAGTATTTCAACGTTGGTCCAAGGAGCAGGGTGCCAGTTGGTTCCAAATTTCGGAGTCAGATGACAGGTGGAGACAATGTCGGTGAGCGGGACGATTTCAGCAAGAGGTTGCCCATGCTGGTAGGAACGGGTGACAGAGTGAAGGAGGGAATCGGGGTCAGGCGCACGGAGTGGATTGAACCATTCAACGTACGCGTGATACTTGGGAAGTTCACGCCCCCGAAGGTGGTCAGGCAGTGCGAAGATCACGCGTACCTGGGCCACTCGAAGTCCTGAATGATAATATCAAATCAATGAGTATGAGCAGGGAGCTGGTGTGACGCACCTTTGAGGCAGGTACCTCTTGTAACCTGATTCCCTAGTTCACTCCCACTTCTAATCAGAACCGTGTCGAAGTTGGCTGGGGAGTCCTTTTTACGGCCTGGAATCAACGGTGTTGCACGGGCACGCTGAGTTGCCTTGAAGCGTCCAACAGCCGCGAGATTGGGCAAGTGAATGGATAGGCACTTATATACGTTAAATTTGTCGGTAGCGTTTGGAAGTAGCGGCTGGGCAGGTGCGGGGTAGGCACGACGGATGACCTTTGTGAGTGCAGAAATGAAGTTGACAGCGAAGAAGCGAGTGGTGAGTGTATCAATGTTTGTGAGAGGAAACCCGGGTTGAACGGGTAGGTGATGAGTGAAGGGCAGACCAGCTGTGGTAGCGGCTGGGGAGGTGGCTGCCAAAGGTTCGTTGATCACGTCGCTGTCAGTGTTAGCATCACTGTCACTGTCAACGTCGGACTCAGCATCACGCCTCAGTGACCAATCGAGGTATGCCCTAAACCTCGCAACTGCTTCCTGGCGCCCAAGCCACTTCACCATCTGTTCCTCATAATCCCGCCCATTACTTGCTCTGTATGCTTCCTTTGCAAAATCGATATGAAGACGCTCTGGCAACTCCGTGTTGTAACCGTCAGCGGCACCACGAGACTTGATCGCTTCACAGTAATGCAACATTTGATGGAGTTTTGGAATATTGAAGTGCTCGCGGACGCCCTCGCGAATGAAGATGTCCTTATTCTCATGGAAGATCTTCAGTGCGTCTTGAAGTGCATCGAGTGTTGTTGAGGTATGTATGTGCAGTTGTGAATAGTAGATGAAATCGATAGCTGCGCGCGCAGTCCGCAAAACGGCAGGCTGTACTGCACCGACAAGCAAACCGACGAAGACACGTTGCATGTCCTTGTGCTCTCGCCCTGTCCACTGGGATACATGGGAGATCCTGTTTTTGAAGTGTCGAAGGCCTGGGTAACCAGGCATACTGCGAAAATGTGCGTCTATCTCGTGTTTGCCTGCTAGCTCAACACACCAGCTGACTAGATGGTCCTTAAAGACTCCCTTGTGAAGCTGGTGAAGGATGTCGGGTGTGAAACATGTGAAGATATCGACATGAGGAAGGTTGGCCCAAAATGGCTTCCATACAGGGCGAAATCCCTCATTATCGTAAGCAGCCACACGTCGCCCACTCTTCTTGTGACTCAAAATAGTCTTGCTACGTTCTTGTTCTCGTAGCAAGGAGTCCACCATCTCCCCTCGGTCTTTTGGTTCCACTCGGCACTTGGGGCAGTAACTCTCTTTGCAGCATGCGACGAGACACTGCTCCGGAAAATCTGCAACATATGAAGCAAGGATTGGGAAGACCCGACGAACAATGCCATCTGCACAGGTAATGTTGACACCCTCTTCCCCAGCTTTGACGAGCGGCACTAACAGTTTCTCCATGCAGAAATGGAAAAGTCGATAACCCTCTTGAGAACGCGTCGCTTCAGTGTAATTGTCCAACTTCGCGACTGGTAAATACCCGATAAGGACGGTGGCATGGGCTGAGGGTTTGCGACGCTTCTCTTTCTCAATGTTTCCAATTGTAAGGTAAACAGGCCATGCTTTCTTGTCACCCCGAAACTGGGTTAATTGAGTCTTGTCTGAAGAGAGAATCAGAGCGGCGATTGTTGCCCCCACATCAAGCTTCCACTGTTGCCGGAATTAGCCCATGGTTGTCTGGCGATATAAGGGTAACGTACTTGTGTGTCCCACCACCAATCACCAGTCCACATCTCGTCATAGACACGTATATTCCCCTCCTTATCACGGTACACTTGCTCAGGTGCGTACTTCAGCACTGTTTTAAAAGCAGGGTTACTCATCAACTCCTTTACACAATCCACAGGATCCCGCCTCCACAGCTCAAGCTTTTCTGGTGGCATTGGCTTTCCATCTTCATTGGTTCGATCTCCTGGCGCTGTTACAATGTCGCATGTCCATGTGGCCCCTTGTGTCGGCAGGGCATCAACTTTCTTGAGAAAATTACGGTTATTGTTGTAAGAGGGCTTCGTTCGATTGGTTGTCTATTTTTGACACTCCATTAGTAAACACAGGGACAGCTGTCAGTGAAAGCAATCACGTACAATAGGAAGCTTCAAATAGGTGTCGGTTTGTTTCTGGCTGACGTTTCGAATCAGCCACTCAGCCAGCTCCCACTCTTCCTCGCTATCAAAGGGTCCCCACCGTGAGCTGCCGCCCTCCTCCTGCTCACGCCGAATGCGTTCAAAAAGTGGGACATCATAACCCCAGCCAGCCCCGGCTTTTCTTTCTTCAGGAAAATCCTCAACGTGGGACTCAGGATAGGTATCCTGATCTGGAATCTCTTCATTGGTAGTACGGGTCGTAGTACGGGTCGTGGATGGAGTGTGTGGAGGAGGAGGAGGAGGAGGAGGAGGAGGGGATGCTGGAGGTTCAGGTATGTCAAGACTGGCCTCAAGACCTTGATCAGACTGATCATCGGGTTCAGATGTTTCAGATTCACCTTCAATTGGTATAGGTGGTCCAACCATTTCAGGGGCAGGCTCCAAAGAAAATCCAGATGGGCCTGTGGCAGGTGCTTGAGGTGCGTTCCAGATATTGGCAACATAGGTTCCAAACTCCTGATGCGAGGCTTTGTTGCAGGTAATAGTTCGTTTAATATGTTTGTTCAGTGCTGAAGTGTTCGGCAAGGTCTTTCCACAGAAGCCACACCGAGCAGTCCCTTCAGCTTTGGATGCCATGGCTGAGTTTGTCAGATGAAAGGTAATGTCGTAAAAATTTCAACGAAAATTCAATAACCAATTTTTTCACCAGCCGTTTCAACCCGATCAACATCATGTCTCATATGACCATCCGCTTTCATACGCACTCCCCATTTGTCACGTTACTGACGCGTCTGCTCCTAAAGTTTTGTTGATCTACGAAAAAAGAGACACCGCCACATTGGCCGACTATTTAACCGCCATGTCCATCATTTGAACTTCTGCGTACCATTTTTTATCCCCCTCTCACACTCTTTGCAGCCTTTCGCTCATTTTTTTTGTTCAGCCATGGCTCGTTCTACCCGCACATCTACCCTCAAGGCTACTGCTGCTGTTCCAATTGAAGTGGAACCAACGTCGTCAGGCCGCCAGCGTACGCTGTCTGCAAAGCAACAACAAATAGGTCAGTTTCTTCATTCATATATTACACCATTACATGACTGACTTCACATTGGGCATATAGAAATCTGCGTGCCACTTGTGGTCGCCCGTTCGCAGGTGACCGCAAGCGTCTCGCAGATAATCAGAAAGGATCGCAGGTGTTGCAGGTGTCACACAGATGTCTAACAGCACTTCGTCAATTCAAATCAAAAGAAATGTAATCTTAAATTGAGAACTCGAAGTGTGCGCTACTGCGAGTACATATGCCATACAAGTCCGGAATACGTTGTTCTACACTAGAGTTTTGGTTCTTTTTCCTTTTACTTTCTCTGATATTTACTTATGCCAACTCGCAATTTGACCGCAGGTGGTTCGCAAATATCTATTTTGTGCGCAGATGCTCGCAAATGTGTCTCGCAGGTGTATCGCAAGTGATGCGCAAGTTGCACGCAGGTGTACGCAAGTCTCGCAATGGGCACTAATTATTGCAACTGTATCTTAAATGTGTCGCAGGTGTGTCGCAGATGCATCTCAAGTGTACCGCAAGCTGAACGCAAGTGTATCGCAGGAGGAACGCAGGCATGCCATTGAGTCCACACATATTTGCCGAATGTCAAAAAACCCCACCTTCAAGATGTATAGCGAGGCGGAGATCCTTCACAGGGCATGGGACGTTTGGATCCCTCGTTTGGTGTGGAATCAAATTGGGATGGGAAGAAGAGAGCGGGGAGTGAGTCTGAACAAGAGGTGAGACTGACATTGACTAATTTCGATCTAGTTCAGACCTAAGTACATTGACTTTACGGAACCAGCCCTAGTCACAAGTCTCAAGAAAAAAACTCAACCACAACCGCGTCCATTAAAGCAGAAAAAGGCTGACTAGTAGTCATGGCCTCAGACAAAAATTGTACCTTTCTGCCTAAAAATGGTTTTAGTACAGACCTATAGGCACGAACTAACGTGTTCCAAAAGAACCAGAGAAATTTATACACGTTAAACTAGAAGGATAATCATGGTGCTCAAGAAAATACGAAGAAATACTTGAGAAATACCAAAGAAATATGGCATCTCAGCGAGGTACACTGATGCTCGCAGATGCCCGCAGATGCTCAGCTCAATAACTTCGATCTGCGCGCAACCGGATTATTCTGCACGCAGGTGACCGCAGATTTCTTTTTCGGTTCGCAACTGGCACGCAACCAGTGTTCGCAGGTGCCCGCAGATGGCACACAGATTTTCCTGTGCCCCTTCACATTTAGTCACGGAAAAAGTCCAGAAGCAAGTTGTAGCCCAGGACAAGGCCTATACCCAGGCGCTTCGAGCTCATCAAGCCCAAGAAGAAATCATGGGCTTTCAAAAGTTACCAGTTCATGCGCGTGATTCATTGTCAGGCGATGTTGATGAAGAGATGGGCCCTGAATCCGAAGATGAAGATCATCCTGCCTCAGCGGGAAATGGAGTATATTTCTTTCTTTCATTTCTTTCAAGACGTTGATCTTCGACATCTTATTTATCTAGTTCACCGCTGTTACGCTGGCACCAATCATCAAAACATCTGTCCGAAACGGACGTACCCTTGTTCATCGGGTGGACCAGGAAAAGGAAAATTTGAATGCTACACCAGCACGTTGTTAAACCTGTTTAACCTAGCCTTTTTTCATTGTCCATGCAGCTCCAAGTCCACAGCAACGAGGCCAACAAACAGCCACCCAAATTAATCAGACGTGTCACTGGTCAGGCTCGGCCTCCTGTGATGATTGGGCCTAACGGATCAGCACCACCACCTCTTACACCTCAACACAAGTGGCTACCACCTTTATCATAAAACTAAGGCACTTGCCTGTAGAGCTGTGTGTATAAGTCCACAAGTTTTATGAAAGGCCTTTCATAGGTGTGTCCTGTGTCTTTCTTTCTTATGAGGGCTATGTTCTTTTCATAAAATGTAGGCAAAGACCACAGGACCCTTTCATAACATTTGTTAGGAGCTTTCATAAAAGCTTTCATAATTATTATCATGCACTTTCTATGAATTTTTCATTGACGCTGTTGAGTTCTTTCATTGTACTTTTCATAATTAAACCTGTGCGCTTTCAATAGGTATTTCATTCACTGGGTTAGGTGTATTCATTGCCTTTTTCATAATTAATGGTGTGCACTTTCATTGAATATTTCATTAGGAATTTTGGGCACTTTCATTGCTTTTTTCATAATCAATCCTGTGTGATTTCAATAAATATTTCATTCACTATGTTAGGTGTATTCATTGCCTCTATCATATTTAATGGTGTGCGCTTTCATTGAATATTTCATTAGGAATATTGGATGCTTTCATTGTACTTTTCATAATTAATGTTATGCAATTTCAATAAATATCTCATTCCCTAGGTCAGGTGTATTCAATGCCTCTTTCATATTTAATTGTGTGCGCTTTCATTGAATATTTCATTAGGAATATTGAATGCTTTCATTGTACTTTTCATAATTAATGTTGTGCAATTTCAATAAATATCTCATTCCCTAGGTCAGGTGTATTCAATACCTCTTTCATATTTAATTGTGTGCGCTTTCATTGAATATTTCATTAGGAATATTGGATGCTTTCATTGTACTTTTCATAATTAATGTTGTGCAATTTCAATAAATATCTCATTCCCTAGGTCAGGTGTATTCATTGCCTCTTTCATATTTAAATGCTGTGCGCTTTCATTGAATATTTCATTAGGAATATTGGGTGCTTTCATTGTACTTTTCATAATTAATGTTGTGCAATTTCAATAAATATTCATTCCCTATGTTAGGTGTATTGATGTGCCTCTTTCATATTTAATTGTGTGCGCTTTCATTGAATATTTCATTAGGAATATTGGATGCTTTCATTGTACTTTTCATAATTAATGTTGTGCAATTTCAATAAATATCTCATTCCCTAGGTCAGGTGTATTCATTGCCTCTTTCATATTTAATTGTGTGCGCTTTCATTGAATATTTCATTAGGAATATTGGATGCTTTCATTGTACTTTTCATAATTAATGTTATGCAATTTCAATAAATATCTCATTCCCTAGGTCAGGTGTATTCAATACCTCTTTCATATTTAATTGTGTGCGCTTTCATTGAATATTTCATTAGGAATATTGGATGCTTTCATTGTACTTTTCATAATTAATGTTGTGCAATTTCAATAAATATCTCATTCCCTAGGTCAGGTGTATTCATTGCCTCTTTCATATTAAATGCTGTGCGCTTTCATTGAATATTTCATTATCAATTCTGGGTGCTTTCATTGTGCATTTCAATAAATATTTCATTAGCTAGGTTATATGTATTCATTGCTTCTTTCATAATTAATGATGTGCACTTTCATTGAACATTCCACAGCTTTCATTGGGATTTTTCATTGAGTATCTCAATATTTCATTCCAATTTCATATCTGCCTCCAGGGCTATCATTATGATTTTTCATTATATTCCATGATAGCAATAAAATAGCTATTATGGTCCATCCAATGGGTCATTGGGAGGGTGGTCACATGACCAATTTCCAAAAATGGTAAAAAAACCAAAGTTGTAGCTCTTTACCATAGCTTCCTGAATCAGTTGGAATTATGTCCTAAAGTGCTTCCATTGTGGAGATATGAGATAAAAGGTTTTCAAAAGCGCTGCGTTTTTTTTTGTTTTTTGCAATTTTCTATATGAAAAGAACACTAAACAACATGATTTCAACAGATTTAGAAAGCTAAGAGAAGGGGCTACAACTATTGTATCGTGGGAAATTTATCCCAAAAAGGAAGGTACATGCCCTAAAAGGGTAATTGACACTGACAGACTACAAAAGATTGCTGATATACTACAAAAGTAAGTTATAGCCTACAAAGTTTACTAATAGACTACCAAAAAGACTACAAAAGTTGGACATAGACTACAAAAGTTGGACATAGACCACAAAGGTCAGACAAAGACTACAAAAATTAGTAGTGTCTGCTTTTTGAGACTACAAAAGTTAGTAGTGTCTGTTTTTTCAGACTACAATGGTTTGTAGTGTCCGCTTTTTTCATTACAAAAGTTAACAGTGTCCGCTTTTTGAGACTACAAAAGTTAGTAGTGAATGCTTTTTCAGAATACAATGGTTTGTAGTGTCCGCTTTTTTCATTACAAAAGTTAATTGTACCTGCTTTTTCAGACTACAATGGTTTGTAGTGTCCGCTTTTTTCATTACAAAAGTTAATTGTGTCCACTTTTCTGACATATAGTATGTAGTGTGGTTAACTATGTATATATAGGTCATTGGGGATATGATTGAAGGATTGGGATGAGTTGACATTCTGCCACTTATGAATAGTTGCTTTTGATGTCAGGTCCATGGCTGTTTTCCATACTTGCAATCTGTCTTGTCTTTTCACATGGGAAGCCACTATCCTATCTTTGATGTTGGTCAACCTTCCACTCAGATCAGTATCTGCTCTCCTATGTCTGACCACAGTCAATCTTCACATGATTTTTTTGGAGGGATAAATTCTCTGTCCTACCAATGCAACTTGTCATGTCTTTCAATACCAAGACCAGTTGTCATTGTCCAAGCCTTCACCACTGGGGTCAGCCTTGAGTAGATTGATTTAAAGGTACCAAAAGTGAATTAAATAGGTGGTTGGTCCTGTCTGTTTTTCAATGTGTATCCAGGATTCATGTGACACACACCCTTTGATTAGATAGGATAGTGACTTCTCATGTGAAAAGACATGACAGATTGCAAGTATGAACAACAGCCATGGACCTGACATCAAAAGCAACTATTCATAAGTGGCAGAATGTCAACTCATCCCAATCCTTCAATCATATCCCCAATGACCTATATATACATAGTTAACCACACTACATACTATATGTCAGAAAAGTGGACACAATTAACTTTTGTAATGAAAAAAGCGGACACTACAAACCATTGTAGTCTCAAAAAGCGGACACTATTAACTTTTGTAATGAAAAAAGCGGACACTACAAACCATTGTAGTCTGAAAAAGCAGTCACTACTAACTTTTGTAGTCTCAAAAAGCGGACACTGTTAACTTTTGTAATGAAAAAAGCGGACACTACAAACCATTGTAGTCTGAAAAAGCAGGTACAATTAACTTTTGTAATGAAAAAAGCGGACACTACAAACCATTGTAGTCTCAAAAAGCGGACACTATTAACTTTTGTAATGAAAAAAGCGGACACTACAAACCATTGTAGTCTGAAAAAGCAGTCACTACTAACTTTTGTAGTCTCAAAAAGCAGACACTACTAATTTTTGTAGTCTTTGTCTGACCTTTGTGGTCTATGTCCAACTTTTGTAGTCTATGTCCAACTTTTGTAGTCTTTTTGGTAGTCTATTAGTAAACTTTGTAGGCTATAACTTACTTTTGTAGTATATCAGCAATCTTTTGTAGTCTGTCAGTGTCAATTACCCTTTTAGGGCATGTACCTTCCTTTTTGGGATAAATTTCCCACGATACAATAGTTGTAGCCCCTTCTCTTAGCTTTCTAAATCTGTTGAAATCATGTTGTTTAGTGTTCTTTTCATATAGAAAATTGCAAAAAACAAAAAAAAACGCAGCGCTTTTGAAAACCTTTTATCTCATATCTCCACAATGGAAGCACTTTAGGACATAATTCCAACTGATTCAGGAAGCTATGGTAAAGAGCTACAACTTTGGTTTTTTTACCATTTTTGGAAATTGGTCATGTGACCACCCTCCCAATGACCCATTGGATGGACCATAATAGCTATTTTATTGCTATCATGGAATATAATGAAAAATCATAATGATATCCCTGGGGGCAGATATGAAATTGGAATGAAATATTGAGATACTCAATGAAAAATCCCAATGAAAGCTGTGGAATGTTCAATGAAAGTGCACATCATTAATTATGAAAGAAGCAATGAATACATATAACCTAGCTAATGAAATATTTATTGAAATGCACAATGAAAGCACCCAGAATTGATAATGAAATATTCAATGAAAGCGCACAGCATTTAATATGAAAGAGGCAATGAATACACCTGACCTAGGGAATGAGATATTTATTGAAATTGCATAACATTAATTATGAAAAGTACAATGAAAGCATCCAATATTCCTAATGAAATATTCAATGAAAGCGCACACCATTAAATATGAAAGAGGCAATGAATACACCTAACATAGGGAATGAAATATTTATTGAAATTGCATAACATTAATTATGAAAAGTACAATGAAAGCATCCAATATTCCTAATGAAATATTCAATGAAAGCGCACACCATTAAATATGATAGAGGCAATGAATACACCTAACATAGTGAATGAAATATTTATTGAAATCACACAGGATTGACTATGAAAAAAGCAATGAAAGTGCCCAAAATTCCTAATGAAATATTCAATGAAAGTGCACACCATTAATTATGAAAAAGGCAATGAATACACCTAACCCAGTGAATGAAATACCTATTGAAAGCACACAGGTTTAATTATGAAAAGCACCCTGTGGCCTTGCCTATATTTTATGAAAAGAACATAGGTTTTATAAGAAAGAAAACACAGGACACATCTATGAAATGCCTTTCATAAAACTTGTGGACTTATACACACAGCTCTGCAGGCAATTGCCTTAGTTTTATCATAAAAGTGGTAGCCACCAGTCACCTCAACAGCAACCTTTTCAAGCTGCCGAGTCAGCTCCACATCGCGGCCCTGGTCCCTACAGCCCCCGCTCCCAATCCTTTTATATGGCTGGTGACGGAACCTACTATCAGCGTGAGTTTGTAGTGGAGGATGCTGAGCGTAAGTCATCATGCTTATACAAAAACTTACATCCGACGAAATTGTTACTTTTAGATAGCGATGATGAATTTGGGACCCACACAGCCGGTGTAGAGTACCCAGAACCGACACGCCACGTATACCCAAATGCACATCCTGCATTGAAGAACTTTCCAAAGTCAAGCCTTTCCCCACCGGCGATAACTCATAGGCCAAAGCTCAACAGCACCCAGTCAAAGGTCACTACGTTGTCGACCTCCTTTCTTGTACCATCACTAACAAAGCATAGGTCTCTACCCCAAACCCACGCATCCGGAAGGAACCTCCGACTACCCCAGCCGCTGAGACAACGGTCATAATCAAACGACCAAAGTCAGAGTTTTCAGGAACACGAGGCCGCGTTCGCGCCTCAGACTTCGATGACGTGACCAAGTCCGTCGTTGAAGAAGCCATTTCTATCTATCGCGCTCAGATTGGAGCTGTCGAACCCTACCCTGATCGTGTTGAAGATCGCGAGGCGGCGGTGGCGGCTTGGGTCGAGGCTTGCAATGGTCAGGGAATCCGCATAGAGTTTGATCATGACATAATGAAATTGGTGGGTACCATTCTCCTCATATCTACTGCCATTGATATTGGACCTAGATCACGGCGCGTGCCTCCCAAGCCCGAGGGCAGCTGAAAACGCTTGCACGCCCTCTCGTCGAGGCTGCCTATGGGATCAGTCCCACGAATGCCAAGCGCGACAACCGCAATCTTGTCGAGGATTTGCAAGACCGCATCGGCTTTGCGTACAAGGCACGTTCTACATTTTTTGATTCCTTCATATGACTACAACATCTTTTTTATAGAATCTGGCTGATCGCACTGGATTATACCGTCATCCCATCATTCAAACGATCGTCAACAAGATGTATTTCAAGCACAAAACAGACGACGGCATCGTGAACCCAGAGTTCTCGGAGAACGAGGAGCTCTCTTTGGTTACTCTAGCACTGGTCCTCACTGTGGTATGCAGTTCATTACACTTTTTTTCTTCCTTCATCTCACTCAGCATCTAGATTGACAATTGCCTCGACGAGTGGCAAACAGGAGAACATGTTGATGTCCAGTTTTCAGCTGCGACCTACAAGAACAAGTTCATTGCTCACCTCAAACGACTTGAGGACTTCGCTGAGAAGACGAAGGATGCGAACATCGTTTCGCGTTTGCGTAAGCATCTGCTCAAAATGGCGAAGTACGTTCTTTTTACATTTCAGTTTTGGTACAAATTCTAACAACGTTAGAAAACATGCCAAGGCTGATGATGCACCTCAAGTCATTCAAGCTGCTAGGGTCACCGAAGATGAGGTAGAGGCAGCAAAGAAGGAATGGGAAGGTCTGGTGTTGTCGGAAGAGGAGGATTGATGTGCAGCCTGCTACTAGCCTAGTGTATCCCAATACCCAATAAAACATTTCTCCTATTTTGTCTCTTCTAATTGGTGCTACGGTGACCTACCTAGCTTAAGTAGTCTACTGCCTATCAACCTAGGACCACCTACGACGACATACATAACAGATGTGGTGCCTACTGGTACCTATATATCGGGGGTCAACCTAATTACCTAACGAAGCTATTTAGGTCTCGTAGACCTATATAGCTTTCGAACTTTTTGCAGATGAAACTCACTAGTTCGGCTGACAGTTTCCTCCACCAAACCTTGCCTTTCTGGTTTCACTACGACGATGAGATACATGGAACAAATCCTCGTTCGTAACTGGATAAAGCTAGAGACTCGTACGCCATTGGTGCAACGACGAAGGTGTCGGTTTGATGGGTAGAATGTGTGAGAGGTTTTTGTGGGGAGAAAATCACGTGAACCGTCTGGTGTGACAAGACCACCCCAAATATTGGTCAACAGATGCACACTTACAGTCCCAACATCAGATATTTTCCGCGTTCATACTGTTGTCGAGAATTCCAGGCTGTCCATAGTATCTCTGTTTGTTCTTTATTTCTTGATAATTTTTGATTTTCGTCAATTTTCAAACGCGAGCTTTAGAACATGGAATCCTATTAAAACTCTATGTTCGCTTGTGTCATCGACTTTTACATTTCGAAGTATATACCTTAAAAAGGGTTTGATAAGAGGAAACAAAACATTCGAAGCAGGGAATCTCTCTGTCTGGGAATCGGACCCAGTCTATCACGTTAGCAACATTTTCTTTATCGAAATTGTCAACGCGTGTGTTGCGCGTGTGCTTACCACTGCACCAACAAAGAGACATGACATTTGACGCTGAATCCACGTCTTTAAGGCAAAGGCATAGAAGGATAGTATTTCTTATGATCCATAATAACTTTTGTGCTGAGAAAGAAGAAGAAAAAGATCAACTCTCGATGGTCTAAGTACCAATTTAATAACTCTAACTACCAGATATGCTAGCTGGTGCATCAATGGATTGTAATTTGGTCGATATTTTGTAGATAAAGGTTGCAGGAGCAACAGTCTCACGAGGTTGGCGAAAGCTGGGCTTATAGCGTGCCCTTTAGGCCAGGCGGGTATGGTAAGCTTTGTCCTTCTCGCGCTCTTTTGCAATTAGATTAATCCCAAGGGATGTATTTCACCTGAGTGCTTCGGCCAACGTGCCGACTGGAAATGAAACGGAAGTTACTTTATGTCGGTTTCGGCTTTACCCACCGCGCCCAATGTTTCCTTCCTCTTCATCACTAGCCTTGGTAAAGAAATTTTAAACCTGTTTCTGCACGTCGTTCGTCGCCTACTAAGTTAACTTGAAAAGACAGAACAAAAAGTCGATTACTACCGGAGCGGCACAGCGACTAGCTATCAGAGTACTACAGTAGATGGCGTTTACACTACTTATGCCAATCGCTTATCAGGTGCCGACGCCCAATGATCAATCATTGTACACTTACGACATGTCATGAGAAGGGGCTTGGACAGAAAGGTTGGAGCGCCAAGATCAAATCCGACCTATGTGGTGCTTGATAATTATAAATGTATAACTACGTTTTTACCAGTAATTTTGGAAATGTTTAGCTAGTCATGAATGTGAGCCGTGCAGACCTACTGTAGCTTTGGCTGTGAATTTTGCGATATGTCGGGGTACCTGATTGTTAAAAACATCGTGTGGGCGGCAAACTGTCAACTAATTTGACATCGTGGGGGTCAGTTATATCGCGCTCCATCTTCCCATGATTGTCCCTTCCTCCTTTGCGACTTCTTGCACTGGCATTTACCTCCTTTCTAAAATTCACAATCTTCACGTAGGTGGGGATACAGTCGCTGCGGTTCAAACAGTATGGATTCGGCCTCACCACTTTCATTGAATTCCCGCTTCTATCCCAAGTCGCCCAGAATGATCCCTCTACAAAACCTAGTATGACCTCCATCACACGTCCGCACGTCCATACATTTCCCGTGCGTGGGCGCACGCTCCTCGCATGCGACAAGGCTTTGTACGTGCCCCATTGGAGGCATACAACCAATGCGGACGCCTACTACGCCTCAACGATATTTCGTTGTGATCGTTACTGGAAATGGCCCCTAGAACGTCAGAATTCGGAAAAAATGTGCTGGTAAGTGGGATGCATGAATAGGTGAGAAAACGTGATACTCACCTTGGAGCCCCAAAGATGAATGTAAGATCGACATAGACATCGCTTCGCCCGTACAAGTGCATACAAATTATAGAAGACCAAACAGTCTCCACGAAAGTCGGGGATTTCTTTCTCTAGACCCAGCTGTCGCCCATGTCAAAGCTTTGAAGACAATGTCGCGGATGAAGGGTGTTTACACCGCCGTTTTGCTGCCGTTTGGAGAGCACTTAGGGGGTGTTGACGCCAGAAACAACATAAGCATTAGCGATTTGGCGAAGTAAGAATAATTCATCGGTGAGTAGTATTCACGTCCGCTGTCTTCATTACTTACTTTTCCCGGTAGGTCATCCATTCGTTTCTTGGTCTCTGAGTTTTTCGCGTGATCAGAAGAGGGCGAAGTTTCTAGACACGTCACCTGATCTCCATCTTGACGACTCCTTCCTTGCATCTGCGTGACCCGGCGATCCTTCTGGTCTACCCGACTCCCATAGCATCCTCCTGGGACAAACGATCTCGTTCTGACTGACGATACTGTCAAAGCGTGAAATAGTCATCAACATCGCCGAGCCTTTCTGAGTGATGTGTAGGCCCTTCTTCGTGTCGACTTTTCCGTCAATCCATCCATTCATCACTCGCGGATCTTTAGCGACCGATTGACTCGCCCCGATGAGACGGTTTTTTTTTCAAGAATTCAAGCTGGGCTGGGGTGGAGAGGATCGTTGCTATGGTTGAGAAGATATTGTTGAGGGCAAAAACTCGGAGGCTAGAAGGGTGAACCTGTAAGCATAAGCATATGAGTAAGACTTCTCGCTTGCTACTTCGTCTCCATCACTCAATCCTTCACAGCACATCTCTTCGAATCCCACCCATATTCGCTTGGATTACCCATCGACGGACCTTCTCAAATATTCCTTCCCATCTGCTCTCACCATCGGCGTCAATCCTTACCAATCCGGCCTCTCCGCTTCCTCTCTCAGTCCCTGCCTCCGTCCAAAGTTGCCGAAGATGATCCCTCCACAAAACATAGTTTGACCTCCACCACCTATCCGCACGCCACCACGTTTCCCATGTGTAGGTGCACACTCCTCCCCTGTGAGAAAGCCTTGTACGCGCACTAGTCAGGGCCTACGACAGCTGCAAACACATACGCTGAAAGAGCCAGGGAACGATATGGACCAGGAGGAGAGGGATATCGAAGGTGTGCTCGTCGATGGTTCGCGTCAATGGGGTTCGACGTGTTATGATCTCTGAATTCCCATATGGTCAGCAATCCCCTGCAGCCAGCGTTCAATTGTAGGCTCATGATGGTCTTGACTCCGCGATTCGCACTTGAGGACATCTGGTTATTGGAGTAGTAGCGTTGCGCCGTTGTTCATCCCAGTAAGTCGTTTACAAATCTCTCCACTTTGAACGTTAATAGCTTACTGATATACCCTTTCACCCCATTAGATTTCGGTGTCGCGCGAGGACGAAGAAACGTATGACATTGATGAAATAAACTGTCCTCTGGGTATACTAACTTTAAACCAAACTGTCCTCCATAGGTCATGAAGTTCTCAATGAAAGTCAGGGACACTTCCTCTCTGGGTCTAGTTGCTTTCCCTCGCACCGATATTCCCGTGCTGGATGTGTCGGTCAGCGGGATGGATTAATAAATGAAAAAAAAAAACTTGATACTCACCTCCTCTGCAGATAATAGGGAATCGACGTGGTCCCCAAGTTCGACATCGCTTTGGCCAGTCGAACTGGCATCCCCTACGATTGCATACAATGCACGTCCCACCTCGGCAGCGAAGTCCATCACGGTTTTGGTAATGTCGACTACGTGTCGACCTAAGGCCAGCATCTGCAGACCGAACCGTCTCCCATAGGTCATGAAGATCTCAACGAAAGTCGGGGGCGTTTGCTCTCTAGACCCAGCTGTCGCCCGATGTAAGACCTTGAAGGTGATGTCGCCGATGACGAGAAACAGGACGATTGCTGTATTTTGGGGAACAGAGGGCAGAGAAGCTGAAAACATATTAGTGATTATATAGGTTGAAATGTTAATCCGTGCGTACTGATGATGCTAGACGGCCAGAGTCTTTCGGATCTCGCAAGGATATAGGCGTGACCAATGAATATGATTTCCGCTAGTAGCCTGAAGGGGTGGCGGCAACAAAGACGTGCGAATAGACCCAGAAGTATGGGTTGTAAAATGAGGAGTGATAATTGGAATGAAAGTGACAAAACGGGGTTGCGCAGGAGGTTGTAGTGAAGGAACACGGCAGAGAGGGTGAGAAGCATCCCATAGCCTCCAACCAGTAGAAAGAAAAGCGGGGTGGGCTGGAAGTTTTGGAACGACGACATGGTAGTTTTGTGTTAGAAATATATGTTGCGTTTCGAACTTGGGCGGACTTTAAAATGAAAGCTGATATCACTCCTGCTGCCTCAATACGCGACACCATCAAGGTGGATCTCGCACCAAGGGTAGGAGGGGTGTCCGCCGGAAAAAAAAAGTGACCCCCCATCAATTTTCGAAATTTGAAGGGCAGCGACGTTCCGTGGATTGTCGCTAATGTAAGTACAATTATTTCACTCGATTTAAGGTACTGAATGTTAAATTCGATAAATTGTGCCCATCACCGGATTCTGATCCCCACCTCGGGCCTGGCGCTTCTTGAGCGCTAGGTTGCCTCAGAGGGGGGTGATGTGCACGTTGTCGTTCCAAAAATAGCTCCGGCTGATGGTTGCCGGTGCTGTAACATTGCGCACTCGCTTAGTCAGCGACGAACTTTCTGACGACGACCTCCACTGACATATTGCCCACCAACTTTCTCCGCCTACATCTCTTGCGCAGCATGCTACGTCACCAAACAGCGTGCGCTGAGGCCTCAACGTTCAACCCCAGCACCATTCCCCCACCGTCTATCACGCCTGGGTGTTCGTCCCTTTTTAAAAGTTAATTGGCTTTCAGTGTCTGTTGTGAGGGCCCTAGATGAGAAATTATAGCAACACAAACTGGCAGTTTTTATATGTAACTTCGTCAAGGGAGTCGAACCCAGCTATGTACAACTTGATGCGCATACTATGCAGAGGCAAGTCCTTTGCGTCTGTGAGCAGTGCTACCAATGCACCAACGAAGCACTTGTTTGGATGCAAATAATTCATGCTTTGAATACCTCGGAGGGGACTCAGATTTGAATGATAATTGAGTGGCGGAAACAAGTATTTCCTCAAATCTACCTTGTTCATATAAGAAAGTGCCACTCGAGGTGCCGTAAATGTGGGGTCAAAAAAACAAAAAACAAAAAAGGAAAGGTATAAACATATGATTTGTCCTCCACAGGCACTCTTCGTCTGGGAGTCGAACCCAGCTCTCGCATTTGTTGAAGTTTATGCAGCCCTCAAGAGAGACAAATGCATGTGCTGGCCAATGCACCAATGAAGAACTTTACTGAAAGTCAATAAACCCATCCTTGAGTCGGATCTGAACCCTCTGCAATCGACACCGGATTTTGTAATTCGAAGCTGAACAGGGGGGCACAATTTCCTACTCAAATACGATGATATATCCACGCTCCATGCAAAAATAGATTTCTTCGTTGCTCGCGTGGATATCTATGGAATAGGTGATCAAGAAGTGTGTTTTGCGAGTATCAAACCATGTCCTTGAGAACGCCTGACCCCATCCTGGGCCTTCATTCCGCTTTGAGGCTGATGACCTGGCTGCTGCATCCTGCCATTCATTAACCGTTGAACGTTGAAGTTGATGACGCACTCCATTCCCGAACCACTGGCTGTCCAAGCCGTCTCCCGTCCATCCCTTGTTGCTGTTGACTAAATTCTCCACCGACCGTCCTTGCCCATTCGTCAACTGTGGCTGCCCATCCCCCATCCCCTCTGCTCCATCCCCACCGCCCCCCTCTGATCCACCCACCCCTCTTTTCCGAGCACCACAACCAGGTCCTGTTCACTCGATGACGACAAAACCAAACCATCATCACCAATATCAACCGTCATAGCGATAGCAACCGATTTCCACGCTTTTTCAAGTACGAGCGCAGCGGCAGTTGAGTGTTTTCATAGTGGTAGAGAGATAATTGACTCCGCTTGTGCGATGTTGGAATGCGACCAGACGGGTGGGTTGGTAGAAGGTAGTTGGAGGCTGATGCTGGAGATGTTGAGGTGGGACGAGAACCTGCAGAGGTGGTACGTGAAATTGCTGAGGTTGAGGTGGTACGTGAAACTGCTGAGATTGGGATGAGAAGTTGAGCTGTTGAGACTGACGCGGACGTCTCACCGTCATCGCTCTCTTCCGACCCCTCCATGGCCATTCCGTCGCCCCAGCTCCGCGCACATGCCTTGACCAAGGTCAGCGATACCATTCCATGCAAAAACCTCCTATGATCGACTATCGCAATACCCACACCCATTGCGCGTTGTTAAGCGACGCGTGCAACTGTGGAAGCAACGCAAACAGGTGTGATGGTGTTAGAAGATGATGGTTGCTGGTGGAGTGGGATGTTCTGTGTCGTGGAGCCACTGTAGATCAGTTCCAGACGAGCGGGATCGGAGCGTTTGGGAGTTCCTGGACCTTGTGAGTCAAAGCAGCAGGTTAAGCGCTTGTGTAGACGTTGACCATCGTAAATAGCCTGGTCCGAGGTATCGTTGTCTGTGTGAGTCGGGGATCCTCGGCGGAGATGAGGAGGGTCACGCCAAGGTGGTGGTAATGGGGATTGGGATTCGGGAGGAGCTGTTTGTCCTGCAAACAGGGAGACGAGACGTACTGTGCGTTAGTTTGTCAAATCTTGACTCAATGGGCTCGAGTGGGATTTGATCTACCCCATCAAATGGTCGCGATAACGATTCTGGTGGTTAATGTCAAAACATTGGCATACGAGGAATCCACAAAGAATCCATCGAGAATTGAGCGTCGGATTTGCTGCATTGCTGGTTGTTGTTTTGGCACACTGGCTTCGGCTCTGGATCCAAACAGTGCCTCAACTCACCCACGTCAACTCCCATACCTACACAGTGGCATTCCACCGCTGCCTATCACGCCTGAGTGTCTGAAAAAATCCCCCTTTTTGAAAAATCTAATTACTGCAAAATGGGACTGGTGCCCAAGGCCTCAAGCTCAAGCTCAAGACTCAAAGCCGACAAAATAATATGAACACTGCGAAATTTGAAGGCGGCCGTATACCTCGCGCCCTCTGTAGACAATGCTTTCCCTCTTCTCTCGCTAGTCATTGTTATATATGCCTTTCGCTCTCTATGATGAGGCCCTTGGATAAAAAGCTATAGCAACATATGAGTCGAGCGCTATCTAAGACTCCGTCAAGGGAGTCGAACCCAGCTACTTACCCCATAAGTATGCGGAGGCAACTCCTTTCCGCCTGTATGCGGTGCTACCAATGCACCAACGAAGCCCTTATTTGGGATCAAATAATTAACGTTTTGAATGCCTCGGACGGGACTCGCGTTTATTGGTAATTGAGCCGCGGAACTATTTCCTCAAATTTGGATTGTTCATATACTAAGAAATCGTCGAGGTGCTGTACAGTAAATGTGGGGCCGAAAAAATGGAAATGAGAGAGAGAATAGGTTGCTCACCTGTGTCCGAAATTCTTCGTCCAGGAGTCGAACCCAGCTATCGCGTCTGCTGAAACTTATGATGCAGGTGTATGCGTGTGCTGGCTGATGCACCAACAAAGAACTTTATTGTCTGAAATTAAATGAATCTTTGAACTCTCTATCCAACACCAAATTTTGCAATTCGAAGCTGGACACCTACTACATAGTATTCAGATGGACTTGGACCAGCAATGATTTATCTCCCCCCTTCATGCAAAAAGAATTGTTTCGCTCGACATTTTCTGTCCAGGACTCGAACCCAGTTCTCGCGTGCATATGTACCCATTTTTTCAGTGTTTGATAGCCAATTGCACCAACAAAGAGTTTCAAACTGACGATAACAACGTCTTCAAACCATCAGCTTGAATTGTCAACACTAGAGCCAAAGAGAGAGATCGAGTGCTTTCCAGAATTCTTTTCATTTTTTTGAACAGGGGGCGTGGGGCGGAGACATTACGGCAAAGAAGAACACAAGAAGACATGGAATGTTTCCTTTCTGCAAAGCTCTGTCTGGGAGTTGAACCCAATCTTCGCGTGAAATGATCTAGGACTCGGACCCAATCTTGACGCGTGTGCTGCCAATACACAACAAATTTGCTATCATGCATTGATTTTTTTCGTTTAGAACTACATACTGATGAAATGCTCTGTCTAGATAAGATAAGATAAAAGACTGAGACTGGAGAGGTTGAGGTGGAATGAGAAGCAGTAGAGGCGGTACATGAAATTGCTGGTGTTGAGGTGGTACATGAAACTGCTGAGATTTAGATGAGAAGTTGAGCTGTTGAGACTGAGGTCTCACCTCCCTCGCTCTCTTTTGACCCATCCATGACCATTCTCTCGCTCCTGATCCGCGCACATGCCTTGATACCACCTCAAATCCTCCCAACATCAGCAAATCTACATTTTACTTGTCAACTTGTCGGGACTTTTTGTTACTGACTGCTTGTCGCCAAGTTACAAGTTGAAACAAGCTCACAAGCTGACGAGGTGCCTGACAATGTGAAGACTTAGCGAAAAAAAAGTGGTTCGACTTGCTGAGTTGCTTATGTAACAGTTGGTAACCACGTCCGTTCCCTCAACGTTCCCTCTCATCTTGACCACACCAAGACCACACTATCATTCACAGTGACCACCCACCTCCGATGCGTCACCACCGCCACCAACAACCACCTCCCGGCACCATCATTTGGCCTCCCACAACCAACACAGCGCACACCAACCACACCAGCCCCGACAAAACGACGTTGTGACGCCACGTCACCCGCCACAACCACCAGCCAGTACGTTTTATCCTCCTTCCTCTTACTGTTTATATGAATGTTATGTCAACAGAGATTTTCGCAGCCTTCTCCCTTTTCCTCTCGCATCATCAGCACTCATTCGACATTTCAATTATTTGAGGAAAGCGTGCCTGGGATGGCCCATGGTGAGTTCTTTTCTCTACCCCCCCACTCAGTTTTCTGAATCAAGCAATATTGTTGTTGATAGGTGCTCTATTTTGTTCTTCGCATCTGCATGCTGCTACACAGTTTCTCCGTTGCTGTCAACTTGAGCGCTATCAGCGAAATTCCGTGCCAGCAGGTTGTATGAATCTCGAAGAGTACGTCAACACCACTTGCCGCCTGCCCAATGCCGCCACGCCGCGCACTAGCCACAGCAACCAAGCAAGCACCAGCCACACGTCAACAATACCTTCCAGATGCGCCATGAAGTCCGCAGCAGCAACGACAACGAGAAACATTGATGGAGGAACGAGTGCCGCCAAAGGTCAGCAACCCCCGATATCCCCTTTCGAATGACAAGTCGCCAGCCAATCGCCGTTGCCCACACCACACACCAAGCATTTCCACGTCACCCCGCCGTGCATGCCGTTTTGACGGCATATGTACTAGTATGCGCTCGCAGGAGCAGGAGGGGGGTTCGAGAAGGGGATATACAGAGTTTGTGGAAGGGACCCAGTGGGGGGAGGGCTGCGTTCCTCCCGGTGTCGCCGGTGTGGATGGCAAAGGATCGTTCAATACAAGTTCAATACTGTACATATTATCGTACTCTCATAATATAATATTGTGCAACCACTTTCCTGCTATCAAATACCAAAAATAAGATTACAACTTTTCTGAACTTGTCAGCTTGTTAGAGCTCGTCGAGCAATCTTGCTACTCAACTTGTCAGATTTTTGGATCTACTTGTCAACTTGTGACTTGTGGCTCGTTTGGACTCGTTTGGGCTCGTACGAGCTGAAAAAAGTCCAAACAAGTCGTGACAAGCGGAGTGTAGAAACACTGATGAATTCGGATCGACAATCGAAAATCCCCGCACCCAATGCGTGCTGTAAATAAACGCGAGCAACTAGTTGCCATGAAAGGGACGCAAACGCCAGGTATGATGGTATTAGAAGGTGGTGGCTGGTGGTGGAGCGGGACGTGCTGCGGGGCTGTAAATCGCTGAGTTCCAAACGAGCGTGGTCTTAGCGTCTAGGAGTTTCTAGAACTCGCGAGCCGAAGCAGCAAGGAAAGGGCTTATGCAGATGTTGCCCATCGCACATATTATGTGATGCGGGAAGTTGGCTGTTCGAGGTATCGTCGTTTGTGTGAGTTCAAACCAAGAAGAGCATCGTAGGGGGGTAGTTGGGATTGGGATTCGGAAGGAGCTGTTTGTCTCGTGCCAGTGAACACGCGTAGGGATAGTTGGGAAGACGCGGGGCACCAGATATCGATAAATGATAGGTTTTTTGCACACCCAGTGAAGTTCGGATAGTAAGAGTGAGGCGAAGGGAACATAGACGGAAGCGAGACGAGACGCACTGTGTGTTAGTTTGCCAAATCTCGACCGACTCACCGGCATCATGGCTTCGAGTAGACGCTGATTTAGTCCATCAAAGGATCGCTACAATGATTCTGTGCTGGTGGTGGTAGTTAGTTGGTGGTTGGTGTCGAAACGTCATAGTTGGCTTTTGGTTGTTGTTTTGGCACTGGCTTTGGGTCCAAACCAAGTCCAAACAGTGCCTCCGCTCCGATGTCGAGTGTTCGTAAAAATCTCAAAAAAATCTCGTAAAACATTCATGACTGGTACTCAAGCTAACACATCGTCTTTTCAATCTGTCTGCTCCTTGGGTTCAGGTACCTTCTCAAACATCCACCACCCCGAAACCGGCCTCACCGTGTCTCTCAAATCACTAGAGATTTCCGTTCCAAACAAACCGGCAGTCATCATGCACGGAATCTCATCCCCATTATCGTCAACCAGGACATCCACACCCGTGCAACCAACCGGGATTTCGTCGCTATCAACGAGATGATATCGTGCTCCCGCGATGGATAGCATTGGCCCGTCTTGATCCCAATTCCCGTCATCAGTAAAAGTCGCGAAAAAATCAGAGGCCGATAAGGTGTGAGGGGGCAGTCCTGGCAAGGACGTTGCCTAAGTACAAAGCAGGTGACTATAAATCGGGAAAACAACAAAAGAGCATACCTCCACAATTCCCTTTTTGAAGCGGTGTCCAAGCCACTTCCCATTTTCGTCAAAAGCACAAAATGCAGTGACCCACCCACCAAGGAAGGGTGGCCCGCTCCCGCCCCCGTCACGATGACACACCTTCCCCCAGAATTCTTTGTTCTCCTTGCTCTTCGGATTATCAAACGCCAACACGAACTGCGCGAGGACAGGACGCAGCAAGTGATACCACCCAACCGCCTCCACTCCATATTCCTTCAACTTCTCGATCCTCTGCAATATATCCTCCCAATCCCCTCTCTCACCTTCCAGCGTAACGCTCGGAATCCCGCATTCGAGACAGAATTCGTAATCAAAGTACTTCTTCATACTCGACATCATAATCACAGAAGCGACGATCGTATCCGTCGTAGTCGTCGTGCTGAACGTCGGGAGGATCCATGCACGCAAAGACGGATCAACGACGTTCTTCTCCAATTGCCGCGTCATCTCCTTCGCCATCGCACCGAAATCGACTGTATAACGATTTCCAGAGGCATGAACGACAAGCTTTTTCTTCCCCTCATGCGCCACGAACAAAGATCGGAGTTTCTCACTCCGTCCATTGACGAAGAAGTTAAATTGGATAAGTATGGCAGTCCAAACGTCATCCGGGCGGAGGCGGAGGTGTCTGTGCTTGTTGTATGCTTCAATTATGGTGTATACAAGCCCATTTCGTTGGGGGATGGTGTTGTGCGATTCGGCTGGGAGGGAGGATTGGAGGAGGGTGGCGCAGAAGCGGGATTGTTGGGGACAGGCGGAGGTAAGGAGGGAGGACGGGGAAAGGGGCGCTGACGCGACTGTTGGAGGGAAGGATTCAGCGCGCAGGGAAGTGGGCGAAAATGTGACTGGCATGGTTGTTGTGATCAAGGCGGTCAAGTTCAAGGTTTTATTCAACAATTCTGACTCGATATAATATAGATCAGTCACAAGTGGTGAAGTAACCAATAAGTAACGTACGGTCATCAAGTTGCAGGTAATAATCATATGCGGAAATACAGCATCCACTGTCCGAACGAGGTCAGTTGTCAGAGGATGGTGCTTCGGATAACAACAGATGATTCTGTGCCCTCCGAGAGAGGTGCATTGCAGAGGTTGATACAGAGGCTACGGAGAGAAGTAGAAGTGCATGTTGAGGCGAAGGATAGATGTCGTTGACAACCCACGTGGTGATCATGTGTTCAAAAGAGGTCGCATAGCTATTAATCTCAGGACCTTATCATCACAAGTGTTGGTCATCAGAGATGCATTGAGACGCTCCAGACAGGACAGGCCTACATTCAGGACAGCACTATGTATGATGCACATGCAAGACTAAGTGACCACAAGTATTGGGTATTACATCCGATTGATGTTGTGTGCACATTGAGGAACAGTGATTTCAGGGTTAGAAGGATCCGGTTGAGCCCAACGCCTCTTCCAAGTTTTCTAGTTTGTCTGATATGAGCGCTGGTCTGCACACCCATTAGTAAATGAGGAGGGTTCACTGTCCGGGCCGTCCGGCGGGCTGCTTGATAGCAATGACAAGACCCCATACAGTTGCCACCGCTTGAACCACATTAGAAAACACCGATATTAAAGCAAGGATCGAGCCGTAAAAAAGAATAGGTTGCGTGGATGTTTGGAGTTTGATGTCGCGGATGAGAGTGGGCCACCAAGATCGTCTCTTTTCAATGAGTCTACTGACTGCAAGCATTCGACTGGTGAGGAGCTGTCCTACAATTGAAGTGTGTTTCGGGCAGTGCTACGAGAGCGACTTACTCGGTGGGTGACTTTGTTGTAATCTTCGCTGAGTACACGTGTCCACAGCGGGAGCTCCTGATCACTCTCGACCAGCAAAAGTTCCATCTCACCGGCCTTTTTCATCAGCGCGGCTTCTCCGTATAAGGTGAAGAGCGAACCGAGAACTTCTCTTCCCAGGGTATCAATGTTCAGTGCTCTGTTGTGAAGATTAAAACATAAAAGAGTGCCAGACTGCTATCACTTACTTGGCGACAAGATTTTCGTGATACGTCAAGCACAAAGTCCAAGTTCCGCGTGATAATTTTAGGACTTTGAGGGTATCGTCCTCCAACGTCATGTGCTCATCGAGGTTCAATGTTGGTCGAACTTTGATACCCAGATGTTCAAGATCCATGATACCGGCTTTGAGCTTGAGACCAGGGGCGATCCTGGCTGCGTTGGGCGGAGAAAGTTGCAAGAGCTCTGATACTCTTGATTCGAAGGACGATAGTGATAGTGGTATGTCTGGGTTAAAGGAAAGTGCGTTCCAAAGCACGCTCCATGTGCGAGTCAGCTTGACGCGGATAAGCGCTAAGTTGGGAATAGTTACAGCAAGTCAACGTACCTCTTCCTGTGCTCCAAATGTCCACTCTGGAAGGTCCTTGATCCCGCGGATGAACTCAGCGATGGGCTCGTTTGCCTTTCCTTCATCCACCACAAACTTGATCAAATACTCTATGTATTTAAGGAAATGGGAAGGTCGGATCTTAAGGCCTACAAACGCAAATGTAGTATCCATATACTGGTAATCCCTCGCATCCCTTGAGGGAACGAGTCATGAGAAGCAAACAATGCGAAGATCAAGCGTGGACTTACTCAAAGGGATGGCCGCACAATGTCTGACAGAATAGATTCAACGCTCCCTGACCAAGGTATGATCCTTCTTCATTGTAGTGTCTTTCCATGACCTCAAAATTTGAACCGCAGAGTTCATCTGCATATTTGAGGCTCTGAGCGATAGTTGCCTCTCCAGGAGCACCCTGAGCCGGGATTGGAGGAGTATCGCGAGAAATCGGGGTTCGAGGGACGGACATGAGATGGCCGCAAAGTGCGTCAAGAGGAAGGGGTATAGTCTGTGAAGTAATCCACGGAGAAGCTTGGGTATGAGTCGTATGGGTAGTAAAATGAACCTGAAAAGAAGATACGCTGTAGTTGAATTGGAAAACACGTAAGTCTGCTGTAAAACTCTAACTGAGCCTTCTCACCAGGTTACTTATGATGGATGTTTGTTATGAGGAAGGTGCAAGGCGCCAGATGACTCCGTTCAACGTTGAAGAGAGAGAGATAACGTGGCATGGATCAAAGGTATGCGCCTACTTGGCACTTGGCTCCCACGATGTCCAAAATTCCAACAAAATTCAGTCACATGCGCATACCCTACTAACTATTCTTCCTTTTGACTGTAAGTCTGTCCATGTCGCGCATTTTCTGTCTTGGAGTGGTGGTTGGAATAAATTCCGAGAAAAGCAGCAATAAAAATGGACAGGGTCCTGGGATCTATAGCTATTCTTCGTCTGGGAGTTGAACCCAGCTGTAGCGTACTCAAAGCCACTCTCAGTGGGAACTACATGAAATGTGCGTGCTATCTAATGCACCAACGAAGACCGTGTTCAGTGTAATCCAAGCTATGATCTAAACTCTTTGAAAGCAATCAGGATTTATTAGTAGTACTAGCCAACATACCAAGACACGTTTCACTTTCTAGCGTCAAGATTTACCGGTTACCACTCGAAATCTACACTTGCTGAAAGTGCCAGTGCTAACCCGTTTCAATCAATCTTCCCCTCGCCTTCAGCTGCCTTCTCAAACATCCACCACCCCGAAACTGGCCTCACCGTGTCCCTCTTCCCTTCTACATCACCAGAGATTTCCGTCCCAAATAAGCCCGCAGTCATCATGCACGGAATCTCTTCCCCGTTGTCGTCAACGAGGACATCCACACCCGTGCATCCTGCTGGGATGTCGTTCGTGTCAACAAGGTGATATCGTGTGCCGGATAGAGTTAGGAATGCATCGCCTTGACTCCAAGCCTTTGAGTCATGAGTGTAGGTGGCAAAAAAATCAGATGCCGATAGCGAGGTAGGGTCTGGTCCTTCCAATGATGCCGCCTAGATGTGAGATGAGTGAGTATAACTTGGAGCAACGACGAACGAGAGTACGTACCTCCAAGATTCCTTTGAAGTTGTGTCCAAGCCACTTCCCGTCTTCATCAAATGCGCAAAACGCTGTTACCCATCCGCCAAGATAGGTAGGGCCGCTCCCACCTCCCTCGCGATGGCACACCTTCCCCCAAAACTCTTTATTCTCCCTACTTGTCGGGTTATCAAACGCCGCCACGAACTGCGCCAATACGGGGCGTAGCAGGTGATACCACCCTATCGCCTCCACCCCATATTCTTTCAATTTTTCAACCCTCCGCAAGATATCTTCCCAATCCTCCCGCTCGCCTTCGAGTGTGACGCTCGGCAGTCCGCACATAATGCTGAACTTGAAGTCGAAATATTTCTTCATGCTCGACATCATAATGACCGACGCAACAATCGTGTCCGTCGTAGTCGTCGTGCTGAATTTCGGGAGGATCCACGCACGCAAAGAGGGATCTACAATGTTCCTCTCCAACTCCCGCGTCATATCCTTCGCCATGGCACCGAAATTGACAGTATACCGATTCCCCTGTGCATGTACAACAAGCTCCTTCTTCCCCTTGTGGGCAACGAACTGAGACCGGAGCTGCTCACTCCGCCTGTTGACGAAGAAATTGAATTGAGTGAGGATGGCGGTCCAGATGTCATCTGGGCGGAGGCGGAGGTGTCTGTGTCTGTTGTATGCTTCGACTATGGTGTGGACGAGACCGTTTCGTTTTGGAATGGTGTTGTGGGACTCGGCTGGGAGTGAGGATTGGAGGAGGGAGGCACAGAGGCGGGATTGTTGGGGGCAGGCGGAGGCGAGGAGGGATGATGGGGAGAGCGGTGTAGACGCGACGGTTAGAGGGAAGGATTCAGCGGGCAGGGATGTGGGTGAAAAGGTTACTGGCATGGTGGTGGTTGAGGCATAAGCTCAAGCGGACCCCTTACATTGACTGGAGTCATGGGGCGTGACTTCAATAGATAGGAAAGGGGTTTATGACATCATGTGGTGGATTTCATCCGGAACCGACTCGCCAGGTGTTTCGATTCACTGAGTCATTTCTTTGTTGCGCAAAGGTGAGGATGTAAAAAATGCTGATTATACTGTAAGCCACATTGCAGCATCAAACAATCACGACGTACCTTTGAATCCTTGCCTTCCCGGACTTTATCCAACATGCATCGCCCCTCTTTCTTCCCAAAATATCAAGTTCAATGGGAGCCTCCATCAATACACCGTAGCGAAAGAGCGCGATGAAGACAAAACTGAAAAACATAGCAACGTGATTGGGGGTACATTTTTATGGGGAAGGCATAGAGGACGTACTGGTGGGGGTACGCGCGTTCGAGGTAGTAAGCGCGAAAGAGAGGCCGTCCGAGCGATGTGGATAGGGTTCGGAGAGTTGGGCTGAGAAGAGTTAGACGACACGAAGTAGGAAGAGAAGAAGACGCAATAATAAGGTCACATGACCGTTCTGAACACCGAATGGTTCTCCCGCCAACTCCGGGTCCGTCCCTATTCTCCATCCATTTTCTCCTTATGATCTTAAACGGCCTCGTGTATGCGTAATTGAGCGGCCTGAGACACTTCTCCTCACCTCTCTCTTTGCTCTCGACGAGGCAATTCCTCGTTCAACTTCTTCGTTGATGCGTGAAGATTCGGCTTCGTTGCACACGACGCCAAACGAGGTATCTCCTGGGACAGAGGTTCCTGGCGAGGCACAGCAATGCCAGCCTCGGTGGAGAACTTTGAGAGGGCTCGCAAAGAGAGAGGCCAGAGGAATTCAAGGGAGGAAACGGGGATCAGGGAGGAGGGTGAAAATGTGGTTATTGAAAGGCTCGCGGATTTATCTCATGCCAAGTTTTTGCAGGCTGAGAGGTAATTGACAAAAACCCGCATCACTGTACAATTGCAATAAATTGAAACTCATGAAAAGTATCGCGCATGCCGCTAGTACTCAGTCTGTCCCCTCCCAACCTCCGATCCAAACCGAAACGACGACGGAAATAGTGATGATCATAACGGTGTGGGATAGTAATTAAATCCATGAACCGTAAAATTCAAAGGCCGTTCTTTACAAAAAAAAATGGAAATCAGTAAGAGCGAATTTAAATATGATAGAAATCGTGTGGTGACCCACGAATAATATAACCTGGGAGAATGAGCGCAAGCGAACGCACTCAAGCGATGACGCAATAAGCGTTGTTTCCCGAACCGCCTCCCTCGTAGTTGGTGGGGATGGAACCGGTGGAGGTGGAGATGGTAGAGAAAGAATTCATTTGTGAAGTTGTGTGTAGTTGCGAAAAGAGGTTTTGCGACTGGAGAATTGAGAGGAGACGTTGAGTCGTCTTATACCTAAACCTCCATGGGTCTGGACTCAAATTCGACGCTTTGACCTGTGTTTTTGGGTAATTAAATTTTGATTGTCCTTTGGGTGGCGTAAGAGGTGAACGTCGAGTTCAATTGTCGCTGAAGCCCCTTGGCAGACCAGGTGAAATCGAGGACACGTGTGTGCCCGAAGACCGGAACGGCTACGAAATGGTGCCGAGCGTTATCGGAGTGAACTCCTGGGCAGATTTCTTGTCGACTCGGAAGGACTTGTTGTTCTTCTGCAACCATGGTCTCGGAAAACAAGACGCCGAAGACTTTGACAACGTCAGACACGAACTTGGAGGCCCAGACCGACTTAGAGATTTGGAAGGCATAGGCGTAAGTTAGTGCCTCCAAGGGGGTGGCCCAAGACGACAAGAAGAAAACAAAAGCCTACGAAGGCCTACTACGATCTGTGATAGTAGCCGTAATGACAGAATGCCAAGGAGATCGACAAGCATAGACCCCCCAGACGTGACGGACGCCGTGTTAACGTGTGGATAAGCAGTCAGCGGGTCTACATTGCATTGGGGGCATTGAGAGATCGACAGGAAGAAAACAAAAGCCTCTGACCCGCAACACAAAAGAAGAGGATGTGGGTGCCCTGAAATGTTTTGGCGTGCGTCATGCCTTGAGCATTGGAAGCGGCATTGATGCTCGTTGATGACGATGGAAGACGCTGTGGGGGATATGTAGCTTGGATCACCCTCGCGAGAAAAAAACTTGAACCTCGTTAATCAATAAAATTTCAACACTCTAGATGTACTGCTTGTGAGCAAAAGACTGGTAGGAGCGCAAATGGGACAAAGATCAACGGACTCTGGCCAGTTTCCAAAATATCAACAAATCATCAACCTCGATGGACAAAGACCAATATCTTTTGCGCGCTTCGGACCCCATCAGAGCGCGCAAAGAGCCGCCCTTGATACCTGTTGGCATTCTTGTTGTTACAAACGAAATCATCTTGAAAACGTCGAGCTTCTCTCACTGATTGCATGTCGCCTTAACCTCTCCAGCTATTCAGACCGTTCTTCAGCGGGGATTTGAGGAACATCCTCTCAGGCTATTGGCAATGTTCGTCACCAATCGGTGTTGATGTGCCTTCCCACCTAACGCGAACCCTCAATTACCAACACACCGTTCCTGTCCTTTATTGGCTGAGTGTCAAGTTGGGCTTTGTATAAGACAGGGTACGTTGCACGATACTGTCGGGACGTACTTACCTTCGTGACAGGAGGTGACGGAAACATTCTACCATGATATCGATCTGGCCCACTGATCAGCAAAACGTCCAATTGTACTTTGACAACTTTCACTCCAGATGTGGGAACTTTGGGTAACTTTACTTTGAGTACGACAACTATTTCAACTTTAATTGACAACTTTCACTTTCAGAACGCAACTTACACTTTCAGAACGCAACTTTTACTTTGATTCGTCTCTTTCCAAAGAGTTGTATACCACTAACTAAGAAATTGAAAACGAAAGCCATCATTAGATAGGTGGTTTTTGTAAGTCAGTTATTGACCAGGAGTATCACGCTTACAGGCTTTGCCGAGGAAATGAGAGATCTCTGCTGCGGCCTGGCTATGTCCACCACCTTCTTCCCTTCCATCAGTCTTTCCCTCTGACCGTCCTCGGCCGTTACCTGCCCAACGTTGCTCATGATGCCCTGCGGCGATTTCGCGTGACCTGGTGTTATGATCAGCCATTCCTTGAAGGGAAGGTAAAATGTGACCTTTTGAGCAAGCTGAGTTGGCGAAGCGGGAGAGAGGGTTGGTTCCAAGCATATTCAACTGAGATGCGAGGGTCCTGTTCACACACCTGCGGACCGCCGATCCTAATTCGTTTTCCGCTTTGGTTTCCTAGTGCCCGTCTTCTTCTCCCTCCTCGCTTTCATTGTGGGCGTGAGTTTCACTTCAAGAGTCTTCAGTGGAGGCGTGACCCCTCGCATTCCACCATCCTCAAGTGTTTCGGTGATGATTGGGCTCGCAGCGGGGCGAAATTTGAGTTCTTTTGAGTACCTACAGAGTTGTCAATAGATGGCAGCGCAACGCTGCCAGACCTGAATGCTTACAATCTTCCCAGCTTTCTTTTGGTGCTACCACGTATCGGAAATGCGCAAAGAAGGACCAGAGTGCATAGGAAGGTTAGCTGAGCGCGAGCGCTGAATCATAGACGAACAAAGTAACATACCTCTGAGCAAGAAGATGAACGCTGTTTTCGCCGAAGTTGAAGTGCCCGGCCCTCACGAGAATGACGCGATCACGAGTACACGTGATCTTGGTTCAAGTTCGCAGAGAAATTTTTGCATCTCTTTCTTTCTCCCTTCCCCACCAGCTCCCCCCTTTCGCTGATACCGGTTGGATAGGTGGGCTGCCACCCTCTTCTCCACCCGTCTTACCCTCACGGTCCTCCTTTGATCGTGCCCCTATCTACCCCCATCCTTGTCCACAAACTTTGGGTATCGCTTTCAGGTAGCAACCCATTTGAGATGCAATCCGCACTTTAGCTGCAAGCGGTCAACGTTCAACTCTTATGAAATACGCAGTGAGGGAAACGAAACTGTGGAACCCATGCACCGTGTAGGTTTTTTTTACCTTTCTCCCTGGCGGCTGGGTTAATAATTTCACTTTTCTTCTGATATAGTTCTCGTCGCCGATCTTTTCGTTGTGAGTGTGAATCGTGTAAGTTTGTTTTCCTATCTCCCTCGCGGATGGTTTATTGATTCGACTTCTCCTCTGATATAGTTCTCGTCGCCCATCCAGCCTTTCGTCGTCAGTGTGGGAGGATGGAGTGTTGGTGTGCGCCGTTTCGCCCTTGTTTTTATGGCATACTGACATGCAATCTCATTGCTCCTCCAGATCACGAAACGAACTCCACGACCACCAGTACCACAACCAAGACACGACGACCACGAAGATGACCACCATGTGTCCACCATAACGATCGCAAACCATGATGCCTCCACACCCATGCGTCCACAACCACGACCACACGCACGCGACCACGCATACGCCCAGGTGCAATCTCATTTCTCCTCCAGACCACTGAGTGAACTCCATAGGATAGCGGAAGCGGGCAGGTCGAGTAGCGGCGACTGGATAGATGTAGGCAAGAAGGCGTCTTACCAGGGCTTTATCCACAACACATCTACTGTACTAGATACTGAATATTAATGCTAGTCCCTTTTTCTGTTTCACGCATCCTTGAGATCTAAAGTGACCAAATAAGTTCATTAAAGTACACAAGCAAAGATGCCAAAGTGCTACCGAAAGATGGATTCCCAACTTTGGAAAGTTGTCGAACAACTTTCAAAGTTATTGTACCTTACTTTACAAAGTTGTCGAACTTTGGCAACTTTGGCAACTTTACAACTTTGCAAAGTTGCGAAAGTTGCCCAAAGTTCAATCGGACGTTTTCCTGATCGGCGGCATCCTTCGCCTTCCTTCGCTTACACCCATTTGGGTGATGGATACCATCCGGATTCGACCAAGACTCGACGTGGAGAGCAGACCTGCACGGAAACTTAGGTATAGAGATGCCTGTGCAATTGCACAGGCAGTGTTTGATTCCGCCGTGAACGTATGAACATTCAGCTGGAGGCGGGATCAAGGCGGGACTCTAACTTCCCACGACCCATCTTCCCATCATGCATCATTGCATCATGCATCAACGTCAACCCCCATCATCAACGTTAACTCCCGAACCCCCCCCCCGCAGAGATATGGTTCGACGATATGCAACCGTGACAAGACGGCGCGAGATGCATCGAATATAAACGGCTTAGAACTCCTTGGCTCAGTCGACGGAAAGGATGCCAGCTGTCGAGATGTAATTCAAATATATGTGTGCATTCCAAATCTGCTACTTCGTGCGCATACTAACTGATCTTTCCATTCAGCTTTTAAGTTATTATCGTCCATCCCTCTGGTTGGACGCGGCCCCGTCAAAATACCTAGCGGTGGTAACGATATTTGTCACTCGGATATCCGTGCGTTCGCCGCGCGTCGTCGGCATCGTACGTTGACGTTAAGTTGATTGGTGCCAGGTCTGCGAGCGTCGGAAGTGAAAGTATTTACCATTTTTCCAGCTCCCTCGCCACGTTGCGACGCAAACCCCATTTCACCTCACCCTACTTCACGAATTCGTTCTATCATCCCAAGACGTTGAGTACTTCACCTTTCACCTTCCACGCGACCACGACCATCCGTTCCTTCCCACGTCTCCTTCCACCACCCAGCCATTCAAGTCGAAAGGCCTAGTAATCCCTGGCACTTCTTGAGGTTTGCACCTTCTTCAAAGTCACCGAATCTGGGACTGCTCACGCTATCGCAGACAAAAAGACGCAAAGCCACAGAGTCAGATTCGGCGAGGCGACGGTACAACGTTGCAGAAGTATGTTAGGTTTACGCCACCCGTGGCTTGGTGGGTCGTCGGAGTGTGGGCTTTGACCTGGATGATGATCTGTCTGCAGGGCAAGTCGTCGTGGAGAAGGATATGAACGTCAGCTGTCGGACCGCCTCATTTCCGCGCACTTACTCAGTTCTCCCCCGCTCATTCGCACAAACGGCGACTGGGTTCACGTTGATCTAGATGTATCAGTTGAGTTCTCTTCTAGATTGCGCAACACAGCCAACCCACGCACGTGGGCTCCTATCCATTCTGATGGGCACTTGTCTCGCTACTTGCCAGTGTTTTATCTTGCGCATCCCATCTTCGACATCATGGAAACGATACTGCCAATATTCTGTCTGTGTCTTATACCGCTCTCCATACGCTATTTCTCCAGCTCCTCTCAGATCTCTCCTTCGGCCGCAGAACTTATATTCTTGATAAGCGCCTTTTTTCTCCTGAGACCTCCCGTTACCTCAAGTCTTATCTTTGGTACGCAGAATACTCTATCCAACTTGGAAAGTATAGTCACTCAAGCTTGTACGTACAACAGAATCCCTACCTCATGCGCTCCAAATAGTCGCAACTGTCGCCTTTTTCCTTGGTGGAGACGCCTTGTTCAAGGCCCTTTTATATATAGGAGTTGACCCTCAGCATACTAGAACACCGACTATATGGAAGATTTTCATAGTACATTCAAGAGTATTTGGCGGCCACCTCATGAAATTTGTATATCATCTGCTGGGCATACAAGAGGATCTTCTCGACTTTGCTAGAAGGTGCGGTCGCACCTCGTGTGGGTTAGGAGACGAGCTCGAGGACGATATAGAATCCCAGATGCATGCCAACACCCCACCAACCTATGAGGTGAGTGTAGACATTTGACGTTTATTAGTGGTTAATGCGACACATACCGTTTTATTGACTTTTCCTCGTCAAGGACCTATCAACACCACCCCGAATTTATGAAAAATAAGGGCTAGGGAGGATTCCTAGGGTAATACTCTCTGGAGACGACTACATAGTACAGACTGAGTGTCATACTAATGATATCGGGGGTTGCAGTGGATTGTTTTTCCGTGTACCCACTCAGCTCTCCCCGGCTCATTCGCACCAACGGTGAATGGCTGCGCAATTTAATCAATGATGGAAGAGAATACAAATGATAGAAAGTGAATGAATGCGTGGGCTCCTATTCATTCCGATCGGCACTTGTCTCGCTAATTAAACTTCATTTTATCTTGCGCATCCCAACGTCGACATCATGGAAACGATCCTACCAATAATTATACTCTGTCTCTCTCTTATACCGCTCTCCATACGCTATCTCTCCAACCAGTCTGGGATTCCTCCTTTGCCAGAGGTGTGGGTACCTGCAGAATTTATATACTTGATAAGCACCTTCTTTCTCCTGAAACCTCCCGTTACCTCAAGTCTTTTCTACGGTATGCAGTGTGCACAAATACTCTGGAAAGTAAAGTCAACTCAAATTCGTATATCCTACAGAATCCCTACCTCCCACCATTCAAAAAGCATTAATCGTCGCTTTTTTACTAGCTGGAGACGTCGTGTTCAAGGCCCTCCTATATATAGGAGTTCACCTTGAGGATAGAGCAGAGACTTTCCTCAACTTTTTAATTATCCTTGGAAGAATATTTGGCACTTGGCTCATGGATGTTGCTCGTTGCGTGCTGCGCTTACAACAGGCTTGGAGTCGCACCTTGTGTGGATTAGAAGACGAGCTCGGGGACGATATCGACTTGGAATCTCAGACACGTACACATGTCAATACCGCACCATCCTATAATGTGAGTGCCGTTTATCACTGGTCCATGTTACACAGTTATTGACTATTCTTCGTCAAGGACTTATCAATACCACCTCGTATTTCGGATGAAAAAATAAGGACCAGGGAGGATTCCTAGGGTATTCTTGTTATCTGGAAAGGGCGACAGTTTTTTTATAAAGTATATCTGGTAACAAGTTCGCCATAGAACAGATTGTGCCATCCTCCGTGCGCGTGCTGTATGACGTCGTAAATGATCCGCCCTTTTCAATTTCTTGAACACTCTACCACCAAGTTTGCTTTTTCTTTCGGGTGAGCATTCTCAAAATCATACACAACGAGATGTGATTACAGGCAGCATTTCATTCTTCAAACAATCGTGTAACAATATACATATACATCCAATGAAGAAACAATTCTACCGTTCAACGAGGGTATATCACTTCGCCCGAACCTCCCCCGCCTTCTCCAGCGCCTGCAAAACATCCCTAACCAAATCCTCCCCATCCTCAACGCCAACACTAAGCCTAACCAACCCCTCCCCAATGCCCAACAACTCCCTCTCCCGTTCAGGCACACTCCCATGCGTCATCCTCGCCGGATGCTCCGCCAAACTCTCAACCCCACCCAAACTCTCCGCCAACGTAAAAAGCCTCGTCGAAGTCAAGAACGTCTCCGCAGCCTCAAACCCGCCTTTGATCCGAAACGAAATCATACCGCTGAACGGAAACCCGCCTTCCTTTTCCTTCCGGGTGCTGATAAACTTCTTCGCATGAGGAGACAACATCCGCCATGCCAACTCGTTCCGCTTATCTCCTTCCAATCCCGGATAGATGACCTCTTCGACGTGTGGGCTTGCCTTTAGCGCCCTAGCGACTAACAAAGCATTCTCCCCGTGGGCTTTCATACGTAAATGCAGCGTCTTGGCACCTCGCTGCGCGAGCCACGAGTCGTAAGCGCTGGGCACGGCTCCAATAGCGTTTTGTAGGAACCGCAGTTTCTCGTAGACGCGTGTTAGGGCGGGTGTTTCTAAAGCAGGGAGGATAAGGGCGCCCATGACGACGTCGGAGTGCCCATTGATGTACTTTGTGATACTGTGCATAACGATGTCGGCCCCGAGGAGAAGGGGGGAGGCGTAGAAGGGCGAGAGGAAGGTGTTGTCGACGAGGAGGAGGGGATGGGACGGGTGGCTGCGTGCGATCTGGGCTAGGCGGGGGATATCGATGAGGCGGAGGGTCGGGTTTGTGGGTGATTCGACCCAAATCAACTGTAAATTGTTATCGTCAGTTTAAAGGGAAAAAAAAAGAATAAGAGAAACCAACTTTGGTATTTTCCCGAATAGCGTCTCTGATCGCTTCTTCATCTGCATGCTCCAAATCCACAAAGGTCGTTTCTAAGCCCTGGTTCTCATTCGCTACTCTCGTCATGTACCTGAACGTGCCACCGTAAACGTCGTTGACGCTAACGATGTGTGCGTTCGGACCAAGAGACTGGAGGACCGTGGCGGTAGTTGCTGAGCCGGAAGCGAAGGCAAGGGCATGCGCGCCCCCTGATTCGAGAGAAGCGAGAGTGGCTTCGAGGGCGTTCCGGTTGGGATTGGCGGAACGTGAGTATTCATAGCCCTTTGTGTAAAGATTGTGATTAGCATGATGTTGATGATCCAAGGGGAAAAATAAAATCAAAGGGACAGAAAAGCATATTAATGCGAGGAGAACGCGCATTTCGACGTGACTCCACGCGAAATTTGGCAGTAGGACCTTTCAACGCAAGGCCCTGTTTGTGTGACAAAGGCGTTGCGCATACAGGAAAACATGTCACGTGATGACATGAAGGGAACGGGCGGACCATACGGCATAACGTGAGTTTGGGACGTGTTGCCAAACGGTGTGGAGAAGGAATCTGCAACCCGACATGGAGACGCAAACATAGCCCCATGCTAATCATGCCAGCGCCCCAAGGGAACCCCGCCAAACGAATAGAGCAATGAACGACCTCTCACCTTATGAACGCCAACAGCTTCTTGCTTATACGTCGTCGACAACGATATCGGCGGGATAACAGCACCCGTTTCGACGTTAGGCTCTGAACCTACGTGTATAGCGCGCGTCCCGAAGCCATCTTCTATCAGCTTTGGTTTGGCGCCGTCCGAGACGACGGGATCATTGAGGAGTAAACCTGGGGACATGGTTCGGATGTGGGTGGTAAGCGATTGATGAAGGGCTATAAAGGGAAGCCACGGGAAGAAGAATTTGGAGAAGCAGCATGGCCATGGCAAAAGATTGTCCAAGCAAGATCCATTTGCAACGATGACGAATCAACGATTGCTGACAAACGATCACGTGTGTATCGGCATTCCGTTTACGCGCCACGGAGGCGTTCAATCCAAGTTCAATCTTACGACCAACTGACAACAACTCGACAACTTACTTGGACACGAGACAGCTTCAATGGCGCCCGCTCAAGGACCTCAAAGGTAAGTGGTCTACATGTGCATCATAAATATTAAATGGATTCAGATCTCGAGCCATTGACTCCTAAGCAATCCTCAACAATCACTAATACTAATAGTTACACGCCCACGCCATCCAACCATGGTCTTGCGCAAGGTTTACATCGTTCGGGAATTAGGAACTCCGGGGCTACTCAAGGATACTAGACGCCGGTGCCTCTTCAATCTGACTCTCCAAGCGCGCGCCTCGGGGAAACCGGCACTAGCCCCGCCCCCGACGTATGCGGTCTCCCCTATGATTCTAATGCCCAGCCCTCTCGTTATCAGGTATGGAATCGCACGCTGTAACATTTACTTACCACCTGACCTCTGGTACTATTCATTTGACACTAGCTGATTGGTACGTCTGTCAAACGCTAAACGCCCATCATCAATGCCCGCTTGCGTTGTCTTGTTTTCGCCGGATCGAGTTCACCCCCAAATTCTTCACCGTCCTCACATTATCTTCGCATACCACCTCAAAATCACCACCACCACCGAATCGTTGAAACTGTTACTCACGCCCACTTCAACGTCACTGTCAGGCACACCGCTAAAATTATCCCGTCGCATGACGAAAGCTAACCTAAAGTGACACGGCTCAGTAATGCAGATGCCCCACATCCACACGCACACCCCGGACAATCGACGTGGGGTGATGTAACGGTGGCCTGATTATGAATCGCGTATATGACCCCTCTGTGAAGTCATGGAACGGCATCGATTGACACTCAACGAGGAATACTACCAAGACAATGTACGAAAGACCACCACTACCACCTGGGACTAAACCGTATGACATACTCCTTTTCATCCACTGGCATTCAATTTCACGTCGGACTAACATGGTCGGATCTAACAGAAAGCCCAAGCCTGCTGAACCTGACCCAGGCCCAGCATTCAACGGATTCGAAAACTACATCGCTTTTGGCATAGACATGATTTTCTCATCACAACGGAGAAGGATCAATGAGGTTTTTTCTTTCGTTGGTACACCTCCGCCTTGGTCTGAGCTGGAAGCTGAATTTGTCGCTCTGCACCGCACTACACTACGACTGATCTTCCTCAAGGCACCGTGGAACAGGGCAGCGTCCGCCATTTTGCGTTTTCCGGACCTTCGTTGGTGCTGGGCATTAACGCAAAAACGCCCACGGAAACGACCGCGTGGCTAAACCACCTCCAAAAAATCCACAGGCGACAATTTCCGCGTGAGTTGTTTGACGAGGTTCATGTTCAGACTCGCGATGGGGTGGCCATCATCCTCGTCCGGATCTTCCTCTACACACCGCTTGAGGTTGGTATCTGCGGGAAAGGAAGCGACGACGCGTAGGACGCTGTATTTCCCGGCGTCTGAGCGACGACGGTGTGGGAGTGCGCGGAGGAGGCTTCTGGTTTCTTCGACGAGGGTGGAGTGGCTGGTTGGGGAATATCGGCTGCCTTCTTTCATTAATATCGAGAGACATCAGGTTAACGAATGGGATTTTAGGCCATGTAGCTCGCCTTGTCAAAGAAGAAATTGGAGGGCGTGACGGAGCGCATGACGCGCTTAAGAAACGGTCTTGAAAGAGATCCGTTCTGCCCTGACGAAAACTTTGCCTGGAGCGCGACCCAGGTCGTCTTCCCATCCGCAAGTCGAAGCACAAATATGAGGTCAGGACCCATCGAGTCGACTGGGAAGCAAAACGGGGAGTGCGAGCGGGGCTTGAGGTCCCATTGAGGGATGGTGGTGGTGCTGGAAAGCGGAGAAGGGGGGGTGAAGTTCCGAAACGACGGTCAAAAAAGATAAAGGTCAATTGACTTTTATGTAGGTATTTCCTATCTATCGCTAAGCTATCGAATTGCTTTTAGGATACCATAGATCTTCTATCAGATCCGTTACGCGTGCGGTACTTTCGCCTCGTTTGGCAAGGGCGCCAACGTCAAGGCAGTGCGATCCACTTCCTTTTGGCGCCTTGAACAGTCAGTGATCGCTTTTGGCGTCAACAGCCAGGTGCAACACCATTTCCTTTTGGCGTCAAGGTCAAGGCAATGCAACACCACTCGCTTTTGGCGTCAATGGGCCGAGGCAGTGCAACACACAACTTGCTCTTGACCACAACAACCGTTATTCATCGTAAAGTTACCTAACCGCAATTCAACGAGTTATACAGTAAGTGACCTTGGCGCCCCTCGTTGATACTTAAAGACAGCTGATGAGCTCCTTCACAGAATGTCGTCTAAACCTGAAGTCAACTTTATTGAGCAAAGGGAGGCGCAGAGGGGGAATGTGGCTAGACTCGAAGTTCCTGGGGATCATGCAGTGCGTAAATCAGTTCGACCTCTCTTGGATCCTAACACCTGAGGAAAACTCTTCCAGGCGGCCGCACAGGCTGAAGACCCGGGCATCTTCGAAGAAATTGTCAAAGAATATCAAATCAAAGAACCATATGGGGTATCGCAAGAAACTCTTGGCTGGCTTTACCATATGCGTTTCAACACGACTTCTGACATTTCGGCACTAGAAAGATCCCTTGTTCACTTCCAGGCTGCTGTCGACGATGCTGACGACAAACCTGTTTGCCTTCCACGCCGACAACAAGCTTTGGCATTCACCTATAGCCTTTTATATAAGGGGACTAGAGTCTTGGACTACATTGACTTGTCCATCCACTGGTTTCACCTTGCTGTTAATGACTGCCATTTAGACAGCCCTCTACTTTCTCTCTGGGTGAAGAGACTTGCTGCTGCATATCTTCAACGTTACCTAGATCAAAAAAGTCTCGGAGACCTTGAACAGGCTCATAAATATGACAAGGCTGCACTCGCATTAATTTCTTCTGATCATCCAGCTTTTCTCAAATTTTCTCAAGGTGTGGGTCAGTCCTACTGTGAACGTTTTCAGAGACTTGGAAATGTTGAGGATCTTGACAAAGGCATTGATGTCCTACATGGAGCAGTCAAAAGATCACCAGAAGGCCACCATGATCTACCTGAGGCTTGGAGGTGCTTGAGTATGCTCTATGTTGACAGGTTCAAATCTAAGGGGAATAAGCAAGATATTGAAACTACTATTTCACTCAGAAAATTAGCAGTTCAAAGAACTTCTCTAGGAACTTCAGAGCATATCTTCTATACACAACTTCTGGGAAGGGCCTATGGGGAACAATATAAATTCACGACTTCTTTTGAGGATCTTGAGCTTTCAATTCAGTATTTTCAGCAGGCTATTCAAGAGGCTCCTCCTGAGGATCCCATTTATGCTGAACTTCTTGAGGATCTGGGAGTTGCCCTTATATACAAGCATAAAACTACAGGAGGGGATGAAAACATCAAACTTGCACTTCAGTACATAGAATTTTCAGTCAACTCTTTGCCACCTAGCAAAGAAAAAAGGATATATTCACAAAGAAATCTAGCAACAGCATATCTAAAAAAATATACCTCAATGGGAAACATGGAAGATCTGAAAAAGGGTCAGATTCTGTTAGAGAATGCACTTGAAGCCCTCAGTCCTACTGATCCTTTGAGATATGATTTTTATGATAGCCTGGGTAGTATTTACTCTTTCCTTTATCATAAAACTGGGGATCTTCACTATCTGTCCTTGGAAGTGGACCAGTATAAACTGGCACTGGGATCTATGTCACCAACAAGTTATAATGCTTCTGTTTGCCAGCGTAATATTGCCGCTGGTTTCACATTCAGATACAAAAGATTAGGTGACCACAAGGATCTTGATCTTGCTATCCAATATTCTCAGCAGTCCCTGGAGCACATGAGTCAGGACCATCAAGATTTTCCCTTGGGAAAAGGAGTTCTTTCTGATCTTTATCATGAGAAGTTCAGACACTACAATAAGATAGCTGATCTTGACCTTGCTATGAAACTTCAATGGGATGCTTTGCATGCTGTTTTAAAGAACAATTCCCTGCAGCCATCCATTCTGAATGATCTTGCCCTACTTCATGTAGCCCAATTCAATGCCACAAAGAATCAGGCTCATCTTGAAGCTGCAATACCTTTAATAGAAGTGTGTATTAATCTCACAAATACAAGCACCTATTATAAGACTCTGGCTATAATTCTGGGACACATCTACAGAGTTATAGGGAATGTTCACAATCTTGTTGCTTCTATAAAAATATGTGAGATTGCTATTCAAAGAGGAGATGAAGATCCCATGCTGTACCTCTTCTTGGCAAACTCCTTCTCACAATTATACATTCACTCATTTTCAACCTTGAATGAGCTTTCAATGGTTGAAAATGTCTACTATGCCTTGCATTACTATAAAGCTTCAGTATTCTCAACATCTATTATACCCTCAAAACAATTTGATGCAACTATAGCCTGGGCATCATTTGCCATGAGTCTCAATTTGCCTGAGGCCCTCACTGCTTATTCACTAGCATTGGGTACATTGCCCAACATTTTGTGGATAGGAAACTCTCTAGGGGATCGCCACAATTCTTTGATTAAATTGGATATTCCAGATTTGGTTTCATCTGCTGTGGCAGCTGCTGTGAAATTCAATGACATCAAATGTGCAGTTGAATTTTTAGAGCAGGGGTTAGCCATAACTTATCGACAGATGCTTGAGCTCAGAGATGAACCAACACAATTGCTAGAGAAATATCCTAAGATTGGTTGGGAGCTGAAACAGATCTCCCTGAAGCTTCAAGAAATCAATAATCCTTCTGGAGAAAACAAGGAAGACTATCATTCACTTGTGATCAGACAAAAAGATGTCATTGATGATATTAGGATCTTGCCAGGTTTTGAAGATTTTCTCTTGCCAAAATCATTTGAGAAATTATCTGAGGCAGCCAAATGTGGGCCAGTCATCCTATTGAATGCCTCTTCTGGAGGTAGTCAGGCTATCATTTTACTACCTTCTACACATGAGTCCACATCAAATCCTCTGTCAGTTCCCTTGCCCAATGCTACTATTGCCAATCTGAAAGACCACTGTGAAACATTGAAAAAAGCTTTGAGAATGCACAATATTTTGTCAAGACAGACAGAAAGATATGGAAGATCAAGCCACCCAAGATCAGCAGAATTCTCACACAAGATGTTTGAAGATTTGTTGAGCTGGTTGTGGGAGGCCATTGTCAAACCTGTTTATGATGTGCTGGAAATAGTAAGTAATATTTTTTCATAAAACATAACACTATATTAAACTTTGACAGAATAACATTCACTTTGGAAGGATATGGTGGTGCCCATCTGGTCTATTCACATTTCTTCCCATTCATGCTGCCCCACCAAAGAGCATGTTCATTCAATCTTATATCACCACCTTGGATTCCTTGATCAAAGCAAGGGTTCCAAAGACTTCTATCACATCATCAATTGAATTGGGATTGACTGCCATTGGGATAATGGATATCCCTGGAAAGCCTCACCTGCATCTTCCATCTGTAAACAAAGAGCTCCATTCCATCAAGAAAGTTATTCCATCAGTCAATATTCTTAGTGGTTCTGAAGCTACTATTCCCCGTGTCTTGGAAATGATTGAGAGCTGTGAATGGTTGCATATTGCATGTCATGGAGAGCAGAATGGTGACATGCCACTAAATAGCTGCCTTCAGCTCTATGATGGCAATCTAACTCTCAGTCAAATTCTTGCCAAAGACCTTCCAAAATCCCAGTTTGCCTTTCTTTCTGCTTGTCAAACAGCTATGGGAAGTTCCAATCTACCAAATGAGTCTCTCCATTTGGCAGGAGGGTTTATTGTAGCTGGATGTCAAGCTGCAATTGGGACCCTGTGGAGTATGAAAGACTCAGATGGCCCAAAGGTTGCAGAACTTGTTTACCAATGGCTTTTGGATCATAGGAAGAGACTTGATGTGCATGCAACTGCAGAGGCATTGCATTTTGCTGTTCAGAGCCTGAAGGATGCTGGAGCACCATTTGAACAGTGGATGCCATTCATCCATATGGGAAGTTGAATACAGATGCTTCTGTGGAAGGTATGCAGAAGTTTTTTTCTCTTTCCATTGTGTGGTATTCAACCTGCCATTGCAAGTACTTTGATATATTTTTGTGTGTATATGTTCATGTTTCCAGCCTTTTAAACTCCCCATTTTCTATATATTCTGTGCCTCTTTCATTGCTCCCTACCACCTTCTTTGTATATCCAGAATCACAATCTTTCATTTGACACCACCTTCCTGTAATACCACCTGAAATTTATATGTCATAAAGTTTATGCCATTTGACTTGAGTCAGTCTGATGCTGAGTGAATAGAAGTTAGGAAAGAGTTGAAAAAAAAAAGTGATGATGAGCAAGGGCTAGACAGTCTGCATGTGCAAGAAAAGCCAAGCAAGTCAAGTTAAAGAATCTATCTACAACATGACCTCTTATATACTGAACATAGTCCTCTCACAGGTATGCAAGTAGTCAATAATTATTGCACACAGCCTGTTATACAGGATTGGAAGGTAATGCCCAGAGGCCATAGTCAAACAGTGGTATATAGCTAGATTTGGATATCTTTTATAATAAATTGATCTTTTGTCTTGAACCACCATCTTGTCAGCAGTATGGCCTTCCTCTTGCACTACATGTAGTGCTTTGTATATCTGTACTCCCTACACTATGCATAATCATGTTGGGCCAGCTGAGTATCTTGTAACTGCTCACTTCTCGCTTATGGGTGTCCATCACCACCCATTTTCACCTCTCCTTCCCTCTTGGCTTCAGCTATGCAAAGAGTTCAGAGTGAATGCTTCATAGCCTCATGGAATGTGGACTGGAGTTGTACTGCTTACTGTGATGGTAAAAGTGTGTCTACCTAATGTGAGCTATAAGGAAAACAAACAATAGTGAAGAATTAGATCATGACAGTTTTCTGTGTCATTGTTTGCAACAAGCAATGAGTAGCTTACAGCACTTCCAAGTTGTAATAAGAATCACATTTTTTCCCCATGGCTTACCCTATTTGGTTTTGGCAAAGAAAAAGTGCCCCAACACCCTCTGGTTAGACCAAAAGGAAAAAATTCTGTAGATAAAACACAACTATCTGCTAATTATCTGGCCAACAAACTCTCATATTTTGCACATGAAATGTTTCTCAATGGATACCACCCTTACAAATCAAAGTTGATCTGTAAATAGTCCTGAGTACATTACATACTTCCGAGAAGTTGAGGCCCATATTATCTACCATGCATCAGGTAAACAGCTTGGATCAAAATCCTCAAACATTGATGTTCATGGAACTCAGTCAATTTCTTGGCTGAAAAAAAAAACATGAAGTTTGGGGATGAGCCTTTCATTATGACAAGGCCACACTTTATTTACAAGAGTCAATGATATTAATTTTGTTGTTGTGTGGTTACAACAGTAGTTCACAATAAGCCTTTTTAGGCTTTGAAAGCAAAAACAAAGCATGAAGGCCACAAGCCAAACAATCTCAATCCTAGATGACCCTGGTGACCAATCTATTAGTAGTTATTCATTTTTTACCTCAAACACTAATACCAAAATGGGAAGCTGCTTTATTTTTAGAAATATGCCGCTTTCAGTGATTTTGTCGAAGTTTGGTAGCTCAACACTAGGGTTTGTTGAATACAAGCCATTTTTTTGTTTCCCTGCAGTACTAAAAAAGGAGGAGCAACAAGGCCTTTAAGCAGGAATTCTCGTATTCTATCTAGCTGCTATATGCAATTGATAGAACTGTGTCTCCATGTCCAAGCTGATCACAGATTTTGCTGCCACCTCAGAATGAGCTTCAAAACTACATGCCCACATGTTTGTTGACATATTGCCCTTTCATGTATCCCAGGTAGTATGTGGCTCTACATAAGGTGTCATCTTTCTCTGAGAACCTGCAGGTCCCAAAGATGCTGGATGTGACTTTGAAGCCATTTATACAACATAGAGATTTGTAAAAGCCTTTCACATTGAAGTTTGCATGCTGCATTGAGGTCAGACAAGGGTGGTGAGGAAGCTGAGGATCAGGAAAAGTGTAGATTAGATATATTTCATTCCATGCTACTACATGTGACTTGAGGACTGTGGTTAATAAAGAAAATATAATGACAGGATGAGCATCAATAACAAAGTTGAATCAGATACAACAGCAAAGAATGGTAAATGAGTGGGACTCCAGCATCAGGTAGCATCTCTCACAATGATGTTGTCCACCAATTGTTGCCAGACATCAGCATCATTCATTTCCAAGTCTTTGGTCCAGCCATACTTGGTGTGATCCTTGTTGAGGTGGTCAGCAAATTCTCTGCAAAGGTTTGATGAGCTCAGTTTCTGCAGCCCAGAAATGGGGTAACTAACTTTGTGATCTTTTTGGGGGGTCTTGTCAGTGCCCCCCTAATTCCTGCAGGAGTCTGGTCATTCCTGTGGATTCCAGAGGAATAAAATTTGGCAGGGAGGCCTGCTATTTTTTTCATTCTGGTGCCTTATCATTCCAGCAGAATTTGGGCATTCCAGAATTGACAACAGAATGTTCCACAGAATTCACAGGAACAGAATGCAATGGAACGGAATGCAATGGATTTGTTTGGATGTATCATTTGTTTATTTCACTTGCATTACCAAACAAAGCCAACATTCATTCCTTCCCATCCCCACCATTTCCTTTCTCCTCTGCCCCCTTCTGACCACCCATCATGGGCTAGGATGACGATGATGACAACTACCACTATGGTACACAACCCCTTAACAGCCATGTAACAATGAGATGACCAGGCAAGCATGTCGTGGCAACGAGGCAAAGAGAAGGCATGGCGGAGAGATGACAACAAATGACAACATTGGTTTGTCATCATTCATCCTCTTTGCAACTCTGTGAGTCCCTCACCCCTTTCTCATTGCTGACCAGGTTTTCAAGCGCTATGTCACCCATGGTGACGAAATCATCTGCATTCAACTAATGACAGACAACAACCACCCACTGCCCAGGAAAACACCCCACCACCTATGGAAACACCCCACCACCCACAAAAACACCCCACCCCCCACAAAAAAACCACACACCGCCCACACAACGACACCCAGCACCTATCTACACTGCTAGCAGACACAAAACACCCCACCACACCCACAAAAACACCCCAGCACCATTGAAAACCCCACACCACCTATGAAACGATGCCCAGTGCCCATCTTACACCACCAGCGCTCACAAAACAATGCCCAGCATATCAAAAACCCCACACTGCCCACAAATCAATGCCCAGCACCTATCTACACTGCCAGCAGACATGAAAACACCCCACCTCACCCACAGAAACACCCCAGCACACATGACAGCCCCATGCTGCCCATAAAGCGATGCCCAGCACCCATTCCCCCTCAACAGGGCCCACCTTTCCATTGCAACATCACATGCTTCTTAATTACTTTACTATACACACAGTGAGATGGCAGGAATCCCACCCACCATCTTGTTTTTCATTTATCATTCATGCAATGGGGGACACATTCCCATTGCCATGTCAGTGGCATGGCAATTAGATGACAAATGACAATGCATTCATTGTCGTTTGTCCACAACACTATATACACAGCTTTAGTTTATATTTATTAATTAAATTAAAATTTCTTAAAATGGAAATAGGATACCCTTTGCCCTGGTATAACAGTGTGTGATGAGATTGCAAGTTCCTCCCATGTCTTTCTTCCCCCCCCCACTTGTTTCTTGCTACAGCATTTCGCTTTTTTACCTTTCAACCTTTGTCTCTACCATTATGAGTGCCAGAGAACTTTGTTCCCTACAAGCTGGGGTAACTTCCCCTCCCAAACGAGGCTGGAAACGTGGCCAGTCTATTTCTGAAGCAACAAGTAGCAAGCACTCCAAGGCCACAGCTAAAAGTGACAATGAGGAGAGCAGTGAGGGAGAACCAGCAGCTGGGGAGAGCACCACAAGGAAGGGAAAGGCTGGTGGTAAGAAGGGGAAAGGAGCAAGGTATGTGGCCTACCTGATATCAGTACTTGTGTGCTGGCTATTCTATTTAGAATGACAGGTGCCCAGTGAGCAGCCAGTGACAAGGCTGGGAATGAAAAGGGCATACCAATACCATGGTACCATGGAATGGAAAACTCATACCATATCCCACTCATACCAATACCAAGTTACCATACTATACCATGTCATGTTATACCATACCAGATGGTATGATACCACTTCATACCATCATACCAAAGCTGTCACAGGGTGTCTGGGGTCCTTTTCCAAAATAAATAAATAAATTCTGCAAGCTGCAATACTGGTCCACTGGGTACCATTTTTTGTGGGGTGGTTCTCCATGTTTTTCTTGAGATATTGGGCTACACATTGAGGCTAGATAGTCCAAACCATCTATTGAAAATGTGTTTAAATAGGCTTTATCCCAGCTTTCTCATGCATCCAAAGCCATTTAATGATACATTTCTTTCCCAGTCCTTTCTATCAGAACAATATTCATCCAAATCAAACTCATGACTCAAATGCTTGGAGTCAAAGTGATACATTCCTAATCCTATCTGGCATGTGATATCACCTTGTTGACACGAACAATATCCCAGCAGGATGCAGAGGTGTGGATGTCCTCATTGACGATAATGGGGCTGAGATTCTGTACATGATGACTGCAGGTTTATTTGGAACGGAAATTTCTGGTGATGTAGAAGGGAAGAGGGACACAGTGAGGCCGGTTTCGGGTTGGTGGATGTTTGAGAAGGTAGCTGAAGGTGAGGGGAAGACAGATTGAAACAGGTTAGAATTGGCACTTTCAGCAAGTGTAGATTTCGAGTGGTAACCAGTAAATCTTGATGCTGGAACACAGACCAATCATTCTTTTGAAACATACCCACCATTGCCTCGGTATGTTCAAGGCTACTAATAAATCCCAATTGCCTCAGAAGTGTTTAGATCATAGCTTGGATTACACCGAAAACGGTCTTCGTTGGTGCATTAGATAGCATGCACATTTCATGTAGTTCTCACTCAGAGTGACTTTGAAGTTTGAGTACGCTACGGCTGCATCAGCAAATGTACAGAAAACTCGTCAACTTTTTGCGACTTTTTGCAACTGACAGCTTGTCTGCAAGTCACAAGTTGAAACAAGCTGACAAGTTGACGAGCGATGCACCATGTCAGATTACACATAGAACTACCTATATTACTATGACTACATTTACTCTTAGAACAATACATGTGTCTGATGGTCAGTGTACAGATTCACAAACTAACCAAGAAATGCAACGAGGGATTGTGAAAAATGTAAATCCTGGAAGAGGGGTAACAGAGACGATGGAGCGGTAGAAGTAATACCCCACTCTGTTGCAGGGTGGAGCTAGAAGGTAATTAGCAAAAAACACACTAGAGAAGTGTTGCTCACCATTCAAACAGGGGTGTCGGAGATGTATGGCTTTCAAATTTATCTTAGTGGCGGGCAATGCAAGTTTATAGTGACAGGCGTCGCGTCAGACCAATCGGGTTGCAGAATTTACAAGCACACTGACCGTTGCATGAGTAGGAATGGGCCTGAGAGTCACAAGAGGGTTGGCCAGAGAGGTGAACGGAAGAAAGAAAACTTGAACAAAAAACAAATGGTTTGACTTGCTTGTAGGTGGCAAAGAAATCCGATGCCAACAGGGTGGTAGGGTCTGCTCCTTCCAATGATGCCGCCTAAAGGTAAGATGAGTGAGGTGAGTATAACTTGGAGCAATGACGAATGAAAGTACGTACCTCCACGATTCCTTCTTTGAATTTGTGACCAAGCCACTTCCCATCCTCATCAAACGTGCAAAACGCTGTCACCCATCCGCCAAGGTAAGTCAGGCTGCTCCCACCACCCTCGCGATGACACACCTTCCCCCAGAACTCTTTATTCTCCTTACTTGTAGGGTTATCAAACACCGCCACGAACTGTGCCAATACAGGGTGTAGCAAGTGATACCACCCTATCGCCTCCACCCCATATTCTTTCAATTTTTCAACCCTCTGCAAAATATCTTCCCAATCCTCCCGCTCGGCAGTCCACATACAAGACCGAACTTGTAGTCAAAATACTTTTTCATGCTCGACATCATAATGACCGACACAACAATCGTATCTGTCATAGTTGTTGTGCTGAATTTCGGGAGGATCCACGCATGCAACGACGGATCTACAATGTTCTTCTCCAACTCCCGCATCATATCCTTTGCCATGGCGCCGAAATTGACGGTATACCGATTCCCCTGTGCATAGACAACAAGCTCCTTCTTCCCCTTATGCGCAACGAACTGAGACCGGAGCTGCTCACTCCGCCTGTTGACGAAGAAATTGAATTGGATGAGGATGGTGGTCCATATGTCATCTGGGCGGAGGCAGAGGTGTCTGTGTCTATTGTATGCTTCGACTATGGTGTGCACGAGACCATTTCGTTTTGGAACGGTGTTGTGGGACTCAGCTGGGAGGGAAGATTGGAGGAGGGAGGCACAGAGGCGGGATTGTTGGGGGCAGGCGGAGGCCAGGAGGGATGAAGGAGAGAGCGATGTAGACGCGACGGTTAGCAGGAAGGATTCAGCATGCAAGGATGTAGGTGAAAAGGTTACTGGCATGATTGTTGTGGTTGAGGCTTGCGCTCAAGCTCAAACGGACCCCTTCTACTGACTGGAGTCATGGGACGTGACTTCAATAGAGAGGAAAGGGGTTCATGACATCATGTGGAGGATTTCATCCGGAACTGACTCTCCAATTCACTGAGTCATTTCTTTGTTGGCATGAAGGTGAGGATGTGAAGAATGCTGATTATACTGTAAGCCATGTTGCAGGATAAAACACTAACAACGTACCTTCGAATCCTTGCCTTCCCGGACTTTATCCAACATGCATCGCCTACAGTAGGCAGGAGCGCCACGGTTCAATTTGATTTCTGATTTCTCAAGTTTAAAAATATTTTTACTATAGTCTAATCGGGGCACACGGGTGCCTGGGGATGAAATATTCTCCTCTCCCTGAGATACTCCTAGTCTCGGAGACTAGCGATTTCCAGTGCGGGCAAGCCGTATACTTGAGACTCACCCACAGGGGGAGCCACCTCAAGTTGTAAGACAAACTCCCTTGTCTTACCTCCACTCGAGCTTGCTATCAGTTAGCTCTCATTTGCACGTTTACCAACCCTCCTGCACCCTCTTTTGTTATGTATTGATTAGGACAACGCTACCATCAATGGACATCTTTCTTGCGAGTTTCTCCAGGCGCACAGTGCCGGGGGGACTCTGCATACACCTATTTATGCCTTTACTTAAGATTTCAAACCTTTGAACCCTCCCACGATTAGTTGGTTGAACTGCGGTGATGGAGCCCTAACCCGAACCTATGTGCAGATTTTGACCCATATAGGAGGTCACGTGACCTACATGTAGAGTATTTGGTTGATTATATTTTCCAGGTACAGATGCATCGCCGCGCGAGGATATACAAGAGGAGACACACACACACAGATGAGGAGAACATCATGTGAGAAGCAACACACCAGGTAACAATGTGTTGTTCTCAAGTTGTTCTTCGAGATTTCGCTTGGATTTCGCATTTTCGCGCATAAATTTGAAACTCCCCCACAAGTGATGATCCCGTGTCACTGGTTGTCACCTGTTAACATGTCACGACCACTTTTTCATCATCACCACCACCACCATTTGCTTGTCTGTGTCCCAGCCCTCACGGCCTCTTCCTGCCCACCTTGCACCCTCGCTATGACCGACAAGGACCAAGAAAACGGTTGCAGGCCCCTTCAGGTGAGCCCCCACTCTGTTCAGCCCCATATTTGCTAACAGCCCACCACCACCTCCCACCTCCCCGCCCTGGCGAATGCCCACCAGGGCGCTCCTCCCACCTCGCCCCACGTTGGCTGCATCAACCCGACCACACATACCTTGCTTCAAATGTGATGAGAACCGGCCCACCCCGTGCCACGGCAAACACGACCACCGCCCCTACGTTGACCCCCTCGCAAACGCAACCCTCGGATTATGACTAACCGCCCATGAAAACACCCGAAGACCCATAAAACTGCCATCTACCCACGCCCATGGAATCGGCCCACGGAAATGCCCCTACAGATGGAATCCAGCACTGAGGCCCATCAACGAGGACCCACACTTGGCGAACCAACAGGGGATACAGCACCTACCGTGCAGCCAGGTGCGTACCCCGCGCCTCCCCACTAACCAGCCCCGAATGACAGCGAAAACACTGGCACCCTCTGCGATGAGGCCAACACCATGTCCCACTCGACCACGGCCACCTGGACCACATGTTGACTCCCAGATGCGCCCAAACTCGGCTGTCGACAGTGAGTATTCTTGGTGGTACATTCCAGGGTCTCAGACTCCCTCTCTTATAATTTAAGTATAATTTGATGTACATATAGTAGTTTAAGGAATAAAATTTATAATCCCATTAAATCATAGATGACTGTCATCACTTCTCCACCTCGGCATGAGCTGAGAAAACTTTTCCTTGTTTTTATCTCATGAAAAGAGGTCAAAATCTGCACACAGGTTCGGGTTAGGGCTCCATCACCGCGGTTCAACCCAGAAATCAGAAATCAAATTTCAAAATTGAACCGCGGCGCTCCCGCCTACCGTAATCGCCCCTCTTTCTTTCCGAAATATAACGTTCAATGGGAGCCTCCATCAATACACCGTAGCGAAAGAGCGCGATGAAGACTAAAAACTGAAAAACATAGTGACGTGCAGATTGGGGGTACATTTTTTTAGGAAGGCATAGACGAGGAATTGGTGGGGGTACGCACGTTCCAGGTAGCAAGCGCGAAAGCGAGGCCGTCCGAGCGGATGTGGATAGCAGACCACACGAAGTAGGAAGAGAAGAAGACGCAACAAGGTCACATGACCGTTCTGAAACACGGAATCGAGGTAATTGACAAAAACCCACACAATCAATAATTACTGCATCATTCATCACTGTACAATTGCAATAAATTGAAAACTTATTAAAAATATCGCGCACGCCGCTAGTACTCAGTCTGTCTCCTCCCAACCTCCGATCCAAACCGAAACGACGACGGAAATAGTAATGATCATAATGGTGTGGAATAGTAATTAAATCCATGAGGCGTAAAATTCAAAGGCCGTTCTGTGCAAAAAAATTGAAATCAGTAAGAACGAATTCCAATACGATGGAGAGCGTGTAGTGACTCATTTATAACCTGGGAGAATGCGTGCAAACGAATGCACTCAAGCGATGACGCAATAAGCGTTGTTTCCCGAACCACCACCCTCGTAGTTGGTGGGGATGGAATCGGTGGAGGTAGAGATGGTAGAGAAAGAATCCATTTGTGAAGTTGTTGATAGTTGCGAAAAGAGGTTTTGCGACTGGAGATTGAGAGGAGGCGCCGAGTCGTTTTATACCTAAAACGTCCACGGGTCTGGACTCAAATTCGACGCTTTGACCTGTGTTTCTGGGCAAAAGACTTTTAATTGTTTGTCCTTTGGGTGGCGTAAGAGGTGACCGTCGAGTTTGATTGTGAAGCCCCTCGGCAGACCAGGTGAAATCGATGTGTGCCCGAAGACCGGATGGGTTACGAAGTGCTGCCAAGCGTTATAGGAGTGCAGATTTCTTGTTCGACTTGGAAGGACATGTTGTTCTTCGGCAACAACGGTCTCGGACAACAAGACGCCGACGACTTTGACAACGTTAGACACGAGCTTGGAGGCCCAGTATCAATCACCGACTCAGATGACTTGAAGGCATAGGCGTAAGTAGTTAGTGCCTCCAAGGGGGCGGCCCAAGACGACAAGAAGAAAACAAAAGCCTACGAAGGCCGACCACGATAGACGTGACGGACGCCGTGTTAACGTATGGATAAGCAGTCATCGGGTCTACTTTTCATTGTGAGCATTGCGAGATCGAAAGAAAAGCCACTGATCCGCAACAAAAGAAGAGGATGAGGGTGCCCTGAAATGTTTTGACGTGCTTCATGCCTTGAGCCATGACGAGCATTGAGACGGAGGCTTGGATCATTTGCCCGGTCTGGAGTGTGTATGAGACCTGCGCTTGATAGTGCGGTGTTAAATTGGGGTGGGGACCCAAGAAGGCGCGCAGAGGCGCGATGAGTATGTGTAATGCGCAGGCGGACGAGAGAAAGGGCGGGATTCCGGGAATTTCCGTTATAGCAAAACTTCTCACGACCAATCTTCTCATCAACCCATCATCGTGACATTCATTTTCCAAGTCAACTCCCAGAACTATGACCTGACAATATTCAACCGTGACAGGACGGCTTGAGATATATTAAATATAAACGGCTTACATAGAATGGCCTTGGTTCAGTGTGCATTCCGAATCTACTAACTTCGTGAACATACTGACTGATCTTTCCATTCAGCTCTGAAGTTCTTATCGTCCATCCCTCTGGTTGAACGCAGCCCTGTCAAGATACCTGGCAATGCTAGCGATGTTTATTACTCGGATATCCAGGCGTCGTCGGCATGGTGTATTGACGTTAAGTCAAGTCTTCGAGCGCCGGAAGTGAAGTACTTGCCATTTTCTGAGCTCCCTCGCCACGTTCAACCGACCACAACCATCCGTTCCTTCCCACGTCTCCTTCCACCACCCAGCCATTCAAGTCAAAAGGCCCAGTGATCCCTTCACGGCATCTCGAAGTCACCGAATCTGGCAAGTATGGTTCGGAGCGTAGGCTTTGACCTGGATGATGATCTGTCTGCAAGGCCGGAGTCATTAGAGTTCGTCATGGAGAATGTTATTAACTTTGGCTGATGGGCCGTCTCATTCCCGTGCACTCGCCCAGCTCTCCCCCGCTCATCCGCACCAACGGCGACTGGGTTCACATTGATCTAGATGTATCAGTTCTAGATTGCGCAGCACAGCCAACCCATGCGTGAGCTCCTATCCATTCCGATCGGCAGTTGTCTCGCTACTTTCCAGTGGTAAACTTCATCTTATCTTGCGCATCCCATCTTCGACATCATGGCAACGATACTGCCAATACTCTGTCTGTGTCTTATACCGCTCTCCATACGCTATTTCTCCAGCTCCTCAGATCTCTCCTTCGGCCGCAGAACTTATATTCTTGATAAGCGCCTTTTTTCTTCTGAGACCTCCCGTTACCTCAAGTCTTATCTTTGGTATGCAGAATACTCTATCCAACTTGGAAAGTATAGTCACTCAAGCTTGTACGTACTACAGAATCCCTACCTCATGCGCTCCAAATAGTCGCAACTGTCGCCTTTTTCCTTGGTGGAGACGCCTTGTTCAAGGCCCTTTTATATATAGGAGTTGACCCTCAGCATAGAACACCGACTATATTCATAGTACATGCAAGAGTATTTGGCCGTCACCTCATGAATTTTGTATATCATCTGCTGGGCATACAACAGGATCTTCTCGACTTTGCTGGAAGGTGCGGTCGCACCTCGTGTGGATTAGGAGACGAGCTCGAGGACGATATAGAGTTAGAATCCCAGATGCATGCCAACACCCCACCATCCTATGAGGTGAGTGCAGACATTTTGACGTTTATGAGTGGTTAATGCGTCGCATACCGTTTTATTGACTTTTCCTCGTCAAGGACCTATCAACACCACCCCGAATTTTGCATGATAAATAAGGGTTAGGGAGGATTCCTAGGGTAATACTCTCTGGAGACGACTACATAGTACAGTCATAATGATATTGGGGGTTGCAGTGGATTGTTTTTCCGTGCACCCACTCAGCTTTCCCCCGCTCATTCGCACCAACGGTGAATGGCTGCGCAATTTAATCAATGATGGAAGAGAATACAAATGATAGAAAGTGAATGAATGCGTGGGCTCCTATTCATTCCGATCGGCACTTGTCTCGCTAATTAAACTTCATTTTATCTTGCGCATCCCAACGTCGACATCATGGAAACGATCCTACCAATAATTATACTCTGTCTCTCTCTTATACCGCTCTCCATACGCTATCTCTCCAACCAGTCTGGGATTCCTCCTTTGCCAGAGGTGTGGGTACCTGCAGAATTTATATACTTGATAAGCACCTTCTTTCTCCTGAAACCTCCCGTTACCTCAAGTCTTTTCTACGGTATGCAGTGTGCACAAATACTCTGGAAAGTAAAGTCAACTCAAATTCGTATATCCTACAGAATCCCTACCTCCCACCATTCAAAAAGCATTAATCGTCGCTTTTTTACTAGCTGGAGACGTCGTGTTCAAGGCCCTCCTATATATAGGAGTTCACCTTGAGGATAGAGCAGAGACTTTCCTCAACTTTTTAATTATCCTTGGAAGAATATTTGGCACTTGGCTCATGGATGTTGCTCGTTGCGTGCTGCGCTTACAACAGGCTTGGAGTCGCACCTTGTGTGGATTAGAAGACGAGCTCGGGGACGATATCGACTTGGAATCTCAGACACGTACACATGTCAATACCGCACCATACTATAATGTGAGTGCCGTTTATCACTGGTCCATGTTACACAGTTATTGACTATTCTTCGTCAAGGACCTATCAATACCACCTCGTATTTCGGATGAAAAAATAAGGACCAGGGAGGATTCCTAGGGTATTCTTGTTATCTGGAAAGGGCGACAGTTTTTTTATAAAGTATATCTGGTAACAAGTTCGCCATAGAACAGATTGTGCCATCCTCCGTGCGCGTGTTGTATGACGTCGTAAATGATCCGCCCTTTTCAATTTCTTGAACACTCTACCACCAAGTTTGCTTTTTCTTTCGGGTGAGCATTCTCAAAATCATACACAACGAGATGTGATTACAGGCAGCATTTCATTCTTCAAACAATCGTGTAACAATATACATATACATCCAATGAAGAAACAATTCTACCGTTCAACGAGGGTATATCACTTCGCCCGGACCTCCCCCGCCTTCTCCAGCGCCTGCAAAACATCCCTAACCAAATCCTCCCCATCCTCCACACCAACACTAAGCCTAACCAACCCCTCCCCAATCCCCAACAACTCCCTCTCACGTTCGGGCACACTCCCATGCGTCATCCTGGCCGGATGCTCCGCCAAACTCTCAACCCCACCCAAACTCTCCGCCAACGTAAAAAGCCTCGTCGAAGTCAAGAACGTCTCCGCAGCCTCAAACCCGCCTTTGATCCTAAACGAAATCATACCGCTGAATGGAAACCCGCCTTCCTTTTCCTTCCGGGTGCCGATGAACTTCTTTGCATGGGGAGAAAGCATCCGCCATGCCAATTCGTTCCGCTTATCTCCTTCCAATCCCGGATAAATGACCTCTTCGACGTGTGGGCTTGCCTTTAGCGCCCTAGCGACCAACAAAGCGTTCTCCCCGTGAGCCTTCATCCGCAAATGCAGCGTCTTGGCACCTCTCTGCGCGAGCCACGAGTCGTAAGCGCTGGGCACGGCTCCAATAGCGTTTTGTAGGAACCGCAGTTTCTCGTAGACGCGTGTTAGGGCGGGTGTTTCTAAAGCAGGGAGGATAAGGGCGCCCATGACGACGTCAGAGTGGCCATTGATGTACTTGGTGATACTGTGCAAGACGATGTCAGCCCCGAGGAGAAGGGGGGAGGCGTAGAAGGGCGAGAGGAAGGTGTTGTCGACGAGGAGGAGGGGATGGGACGGGTGGCTGCGTGCGATCTGGGCTAGGCGGGGGATATCGATGAGGCGGAGGGTCGGGTTTGTGGGTGATTCGACCCAAATCAACTGTAAATTGTTATCGTCAGTTTAAAGGGAAAAAAAAAGAATAAGAGAAACCAACTTTGGTATTTTCCCGAATAGCGTCTCTGATCGCTTCTTCATCTGCATGCTCCAAATCCACAAAGGTCGTTTCTAAGCCCTGGTTCTCATTCGCTACTCTCGTCATGTACCTGAACGTGCCACCGTAAACGTCGTTGACGCTAACGATGTGTGCGTTCGGACCAAGAGACTGGAGGACCGTGGCGGTGGTTGCTGAGCCGGAAGCGAAGGCAAGGGCATGCGCACCCCCTGATTCAAGAGAAGCGAGGGTGGCTTCGAGGGCGTTCCGGTTGGGATTGGCGGAGCGTGAGTATTCATAGCCCTTTGTGTAAAGATTGCGATTAGCATGATGTTGATGATGCAAGGGGAAAAATAAAATCAAAGGGACAGAAACACATATTAGTGCGGGGAGAACGCGCATTTCGATGTGGCTTCACGCGAAATTCGGCAGGAGGACCTTTCAACGCAAGGCCCTGTTTGTGTAACAAAGAGAAACGCGTTGCCCATACACGGAGATCAAGAAAACATGTCACGTGATAACACGAAGGGAGCGGGCGGACCATACGCCATAACGTGAGTTTGGGACATGTTGCCAAACGGTGTGGAGAAGGAATCTGCAACCCGACATGGAGACGCAAACACAGCCCCACGCTAGTCATGCCAGCGCCCCAAGGAAACCCCGCCAAACGAATAGAACAATGAACGATCTCTCACCTTATGAACGCCGACAGCTTCTTGCTTATACGTCGTCGACAACGATATCGGCGGGATAACGGCGCCTGTTTCGACATTAGGCTCTGAACCTACGTGTATAGCGCGCGTCCCGAAGCCATCTTCTATCAGCTTTGGCTTGGCGCCGTTCGAGACGACAGGATCATTGAGGAGTAAACCTGGGGACATGGTGCGAATGTGGGTGGTAAGCGATTGATGAAGGGCTTATAAAGGGATGCCACGGGAAGAAGAATTTGGAGAAGCAGCATGGCCATGGCAAAAGATTGTCCAAGCAAGATCCATTTGCAACGATGACGAATCAACGATTGCTGACAAACGATCACGTGTGTATCGGCATTCCGTTTACGCGCCACGGAGGCGTTCAATCTTACGACCAACTGACAACAACTCGACAACTTACTTGGACACGAGACAGCTTCAATGGCGCCCGCTCAAGGACCTCAAAGGTAAGTGGTCTACATGGGCATCATAAATGGATTCAGATCTCGAGCCATTGACTCCTAAGCAATCATCAACAATCACTAATAGTTACACGCCCACGCCATCCAACCATGGTCTTGCGCAAGGTTTACATCGTTCGGGAATTAGGAACTCCGGGGCTACTCAAGGATACTAGACGCCGGTGCCTCTTCAATCTGACTCTTCAAGCGCGCGCTTCGGGGAAACCAGCACTAGCCCCGCCCCCGACGTATGCGGTCTCCCCTATGATTCTAATGCCCAGCCCTCTCGTTATCAGGTATGGAATCGCACACTGTAACATTTACTTACCACCTGACCTCTTGTTCTGTTCATCTGACACTGTCTAGCTGCCCGGCACTGTTATCTTTGAACGTTGAACGTTAAACACACATCATCATTAGCCGCCTGCGTTAACATCGCAATCCTCTTGCCTCTGAATCAAGTTCACTCCCGAATTCTTCACAGTCCTCACATTATCTTCACATACCACCTCAAAATCACCACCACCACCGGATCGTTGAAACTGTTACCCCCGCCCACTTCAACGTCACTGTCAGGCACGCCGCTAAAATTATCCCGTCGCATGACGAAAGCTAACCTAAAGTGACACGGCTCAGTAATGCAGATGCCCCACATCCACACGCACACCCCGGACAATTGACGTGGGGTGAGGTAACGGCAGCCAGAAGTGTAATATACGACCCCTCGCATCGGGTGATTCACCCACCTATCATTGACACTCAACGAGAATGACAACCAAGACAAGACAGTCCAACAATGTATGAAAGACCACCGCTACCACCTGGTACCAAACCGTATGAATTACCCCTTCTCATCCATTTAAATTAAATTTCGCGTCGGACTAACATGGTTGGATCTAACAGAAAGCCCAAGCCTGCTGAACCCGACCCGGGCCCTGAGTGCCCAAACTGCGGGTTGCGTGATAAGCATGGCACAAAGTGCCCCTACTTCAGCTAGGAAGGTTTTGTGGACGTTCAGATGTTGATTCGTGCGGTTTGGGTGGGATCGCGGGTGACTTGGAGGGATGGTTGGGTCCAAGGAGGAAAATAATGTTGCGAATATTGGATGAATTTAGCACCGTTCCTTCGCTGTGTCTGTTGTACCCTGCTCTTGCATGATTGAATTTCAAGGTACCTTAGTTCTAGACGCAACACTTCAAACGAACAACATAGGACGGTCAAAGACGTCCTGAGCAATCCCCTTTTATGGTTCAATATAGTTCGTGGGCGAAAGACCACCAACGGAATGGGCGATTACAGTGAAGACGCGTTAAATCGGGCGTAGTTCCAACTTCCTGGATACGTACCCTCTGATGTAGAAGCAGGTGCTGAGGAATGAGGTGCTGACGCGTGAGGTTCCAACGTCGACAAAATACAATCAACGCTCCTCGAGCTAAAGAAGGCCGAAATCGTTTAGGTGTTAGGGCCAACTAAGACTGCATCCGACGCGAGTCAAGAATATCTTTTCCATCGACTAAATTCGCGGATAGTTTGCCAGTCGTTGGTACGTAGGCGCATCATGGTGCAAGTGTATGCTGAAGTTTCGAGTCTAGCCGGTTGGCGGTAGGTGTAACTCGGTCGACGGGCGATAGTCCTTCGCAGCGGGTCATCTGTTTCAATGTGGTAGGTGGTCACAGTGCCAAGAGCTGCAGAAAGGGGGTGTAGTTGATGTCGTTGATGAAGACGCAGCTGAATTTGAACATTCAGCAGAAACAGCGTGCAACGCAACCAATACCGGTTGAGATGTGTGCGCCAGTCCGAGAAAGGACAGGCACACTACGCCTCCCACAGTGGTCCAGCACGGTATAGCACCCCGGAATCACTATGATCGTGACAACGATGGGGCCGTACATCGCGACCAGCTTCCGAATTGACGAGATAGGAACGGCGCTTGAAGAAGTTGCGGATGGAAAGAAGGATAGATCTGGATATATGCGCTTGAATGAATATCGGCGGAGTCGTCGGGGTGATTTCGCGATGGTTGGAAATCTGTTCAGAAGATCCATGTGGGTATGGTAGGATCGACAAAGAGAATACGAAGCCTACCGTTTACAAGTCACCAATCGGACTCAAGAAATTGAAGCGGGATTGCTTCACTTAGCGAGGAGAAGCTCAATTACGTGCATACAGGCCGTGTCGTTGTGGCATGGTGTCGTGGGTGGGAGGGCAAGAAGAAAAACGCTGGGACACGACACAAGATCACGAGGGAGTTTTGGCACGCTCATGTGACCTGATCGCGTTGTTCTGATCACAACGTCACGAGTTCAATTGACCAGCTTTCAAAGTCCCAAAGCCCATATGAATCAAGAAACGACTTGAATGCGACGTGTGAGATGAGTGACTGAGAAGGAAACCTTCTACTATGTGGAGACAAACCTTTCTCCTGCAAGTACTATCAACTCGCTCAGTTGAAACCCCAAGATTCTTATACCAAGATTTTATTCCAATACTTAGCATTTCAGTATTTTGATGTTAATCATCATATCTGTTCGCGCAGGCTCGCACGCGCATCAAGAACACTTCGAAGCTTGAATCACGCGAGAACTGGGTTTTAAGTCCCTACAGAGACAGCCTCTGTCTTGCAAGATCGATACTGATTTGATAGAGCTAGCTTCAATTAATTTGTGTGCCTCCAAGATGTGTTAAGAGGGTAGTTGAATCACAAGGTTCAACAAGCTCTTTGTTGGTACAGCTGGTTACCATGCGCAGTGACAATATGTCAAGCATCACTTTGCCAACGCGATAGCTGGGTTCGATTCCCAGGTGAAGAGTTCCACCTCTAGTTCAACCCGTCATATTTTTGCATTTTTATACCAAAATTTTATCTCGTCGCTCTTTCAATTCTGCTCCGCTAATGACAGTTACATATAGCTATACAGTATCTCTTCTCGCATCTCCTCGCATGCGTGTTGACAAAACCCCTCGAAATCCATATCAGGCGAGAGCTGGGTTCACGCCCCAGACAGGGGCGTCCATCCGAACCTGTCCCCTTGAAGAAATACAAAGCTCAGAAGATTCTTGCTTGTTCAATGTTTCAATACAAAATATGGATCAAACTACTTCTCATCAAACTCTTCGTTGGCCCCAGCTTGCAGATATAGTAATAAGGTTCCTTCACAGGTACTCAGGCCATTGAGAGTTGATGGGTTTTTTTTTCTCGGCACAATTTACATAAGTTGGATTCCTTTCACTGCCTCAAAAGTGTGTCTCATAGCTGTTCGTTGGTGCAATATTTAGCACGGGCGCTAACAATTTGCAGAGGGTTCTATTCTCAGGCGGAGATTTCGTCAAACTTGTGCCTTTTGTTCTATCTTATTTAGCCTTTACATATAAATATAAGGTATGAGGAATGCATGGGGACCCTGGGAATTTATAAATTACCCAGGTTCATTTTTTTTATTTAAGGGCTTGAGTACCTCCCCCCCCATCTTCAAACATGTTATTCCAAGAAAAACATAGCAATTTTCGCTCATTTCTACAAGTGAATCAATAATTCTGTACTAGTGAGACTCTGAGAGATATCCTACACCATGTGTGCACATTTTCTCATGCGGGCGTGATTCTCAGAGCACCACCCCTTCGATGCAACCTCAAAATTCAGGCATTCCAAATGAAACTGTTATTGGTGGTGGGGATTAGAAAACCTTTGAGACAAAATAAGTATTGGAAATCCACTCCAACCTGGAACAATGTCCATGTCCTTCCTTTCTCTTTCTTTGCTTCATGTGCTTTCATGCAGGGCTTTTTTCCTTGGTGCTGAACGATCCCCGCTGGTCCCACTGTTCTGACCTGCACATCTTCATCACACTCGGGGAATTTCACGATTGTGGACACGTCATACCTGACTTCTCTTTATTCTAGGTAGAATAATCAACTGTATTTGAGACTATAGAGGACTTAAACATCAACCTACTTAGTACATACTGACCTTTACTTTCGCCATGGTTGCTGTTCATAAGCCATATGAAAAAAAAGATTGATTCTTCACCCAAACAGTGCTTCAAATGTCCTTAATTAACTGTCTAAGACGTCTAAAGTTTGTGACTACTAAATTTTTTTAAGCACTCTGAGAGAGCCCCCCCCACCTCAGGTCATGGCTTCAATTCCCGGTACCCCCTTGGAGGAATGTAGCATTTTGCTGGGACTCAATCTCAAACAAAACAAAAAAAAGGCCAAAGCTTGTGTGGGTGAGAAAATTAGGATATATTCAACAAGGAGATCGGAATAGCAGTTATCTGTTGGTGTATTGGCAGCACATGTGTAAAGATTGTCTTAACCTCAAAGTTATAGGTCATTCCATGCAAAGATTGGGTTCGACTCCCAGACAGAGCTCTGGAACTGAACTGTTTAGGTGTTAATTTTTTTTGGGTGTTCTTTGCTGTAGCGTCTCTGCCACAACACTTGTCTTTTATAGAATGTCCAGAAAGCACTCAGAGATTTAATCTTGTTCCTTGGGTCTGGTGTTGCAAATTTAGGCTCATGCTTTAAACAGATTGATGTCGAAAGTTGCAAGACTCTCTGTTGGTGCATTGGCTGCATCAAAAATTGTCCATTGTGTGCATATTCACACAAGAGCTGGGTTCGAGTCCCAGACAGAGAATGGCATCTGGCGATCCAACACTTTTGGATGAACAATCCAAACTTGAGAAAATAATTCCACCACTCAAATATCATTAAATGTGAATCCCC